AGCAGAAACAGAAGCAGCCAGAACTAGGACGGACCCAGTTCTTTCAGGATATACCTTACCCGTGTTAGGAAGGCCCACCCCAGTTCAATACCTCTCCAGAAGACCTTACCCCCAGTGGAGCCCCACCCATCACTGGAGTAGAGACCATCTCAGACAACAGGGTCCCTCCAGGAGTTCACTGCTGGACGTGCCCTGCCCCCTCCCCAGAGATGACACCCAGGACAGACATGTCCACACAACACTGACCTCCCTGCACCCCAGAGGGAGAAGCAGCCACCACGGGACCCACATGTTAGAATACACGCCCTGGTCTCTCCATCGCTCATCTACGTCCAGGGATGGAGCCTTCCAGCTGGGGCAAAGTCTGTGGGCTGGATGAGGCTGCTGCTGTGTATTATTATGGGATGGGCTGCTCTCACCTACTAGATGGGCACTGCTGGTCAGGACCTGCCCCTGATGGACCCGACCTGCTCCCCAGGCTATGGAGGCCCCACCATGACGGGGCCCTGTCTCACAGGGCACGGCAGGGGAAGCCCCTGACATTGGGCATTTTAACTGTCAGCCAAGGGCCTGTTTTCAGCTTGATTGCCTAGGAATCCTCTTCAAAGACAGTGGTAGAGAAAAAACAACCCCAGCCACAGGACTAGATGAGACCCGGCCTAAATTCTGCCTTAAAATGTGAGATAAATACCAAAGAAAGACCAATAAGGAAAGACAGATCTGTTGACATTAAAGTTAGGAGTAGAAAGCCAAGAGTAAAAACCGTGACATATTTATACCAAAGACACCCAGACCTTGTGTGCACAGGGGCCAGGAATGTGGGTTGACAGTAGGTGGAGTTGCCCACCTAAAGCCTGAGCTAACACTGCCCTGCCTTCCAGCATATTCCACGGCAGGGCCCCTTGTCCTACCTGAAAACTGTTTTGAGGTGTCCAGGGCCGCATGGGCTGCATCCTTGACTGTATTAATGGTTGCCTTGGGGCAAGACTGCCCCCTGGTGGCCATAAATGAAAGGCCACATCTAGTTTTTCAGCCCCTCTGGCGTCCTACTCAGGGGGAGGCTGGGCCTCCTCATCCCTAAGCAGCAGGGAATGCTGACTACTGTCAGGGCCTTTCCCCTGGAGTGTGCGCCGTTGTCACTACACTCCGGAGGCTATTAGAACTGCTCAGGGTCTCCTCCTCATCATTACTTGATTGGAGATGTGGGTAGGGCTTAGAATTACCTTGCTAATATGTTCCTGTTTCTGCAGGTGGGGGAGAACCCCATTTTGAGAACCCCTTTCCAGGAGTAGGTGCTCTGCATTTGGGATGCTCCTGCCCAGGGAGCTCACGAGCCAGTTGGAGACGTTCCCGGCAACAGGTACCTCCAATGGAGAGGGGTGGGCTTCTAACTGGGGCCAAGACAGGGGCCCTGTGGGAGCCAGAAGGAAGGCGCATGAACTAAGTTAAATAATGAGGAGTAATGATACAGATTTGGGGTGCCACACAATGCCAGGTTGTTTATTGAGGCAACTTAGGCTTTTGCTCAAGGCCCAATTTCCTTATATCACTGGATTGGGGTCCCTGAGAGGCACCTCTATTCTGTCCCAGAACTTCCAGGCCCCAGGAACCAGCCTCACTCTGCAGGCCCCGCCCCTCCTAATGGTACCTGTATCCACCTGATGTCCTCTCTTGTACACCGCACACCGCCCCCCGCAGCTACTCCCACCTCCCTGGCTCCAGGAGAGGAGCCTCCTGCTCCTGCTCAGCATCCCGCGTACCCTGGGGGATGAGGCATCTTCTGGGCTCCTGGAACACTCCTCAGGGGCCTTCTGCCATGCCCCCTGAGCCTTGCAGCTCCCACACAGGCACTGCCTTTCTCTCTCCTGGGTGAGTCCCCTGCTGCTCTCCCTGCTTCTAGGAGCCACCCACTCCCTGCTTCCAAATCCTCAATGCTCCAGCCTCCACTTTCCTGTTCTGCCCCCTACTGACCCCCAATCTCCAAACCTGCTCCCACTGAGCCTTCTGGATTCTACACCATTATGTACCAAAAGCTTCATTGTGCTCAGTAGCAGTCCCCCACGACACCATCCTTATAGCGGCTCCCTCCCTCCAGTTCTTAAACTCTGGACATACAATGCCCACTAGTGAATTCCCTTCCAACCAGATGCCACCCAGTCGTCCGGTGGAGTCTCACCACCTTCACTCTCACCTTGCGATGGTGCCTTCCCTGCCCACAGCAAAGGGTCCTCAAAGCGAGCTGCCAGCCAAGGTCCAACTCTGGAACCCCATCCAGCACCAGCTTTCTGGGGCCCAGTCTCTGTGCCAAGGTGTAGGGTAAGTGAATTGGTCAGGCCTTTACGCTGCTGGCCTCTGTGGCTATCACCCACAGCTTTGATTGTGCTAGTGCAGGAGGCGCTTGGGAGAGTGGGCCCGGGGCACGCACACCTGATTATGGACACCTGGAGTATGGTGTGGGCATGCGTAAGTGGGTGCACCTGAGCCTAGAGGCGGAGAGTCTGTCACTCAGAGAACAGCTGCAGCTACTGGAGAAAGCTCTGAGAGGACAAGCTACGGCTGTGAGAGGAAAAAACGTCAGAGAAAGTCCAGAGGAAAGTTGTATAGATTCTCAGGGTGCCCAAGTTGCAGTCTCCCTGCTGGCTTGTTGCACCTGGGTACTATTAAAAAACCTGTGGGGATAATGCCAAGGGCTCCAAGTTTCTCTTTGAAGCTGCCTGAGCTGATGGTGACCCTACCTGGCCTGGGATGGTTGCTAACACAAGGCCTCAGCTCCAGGCCTTGGGAAGCAGCCAACATGTGAAGATCAGCAGCAGGGAGTGCATGGGGGAGCTCCTGGCTCCCACACCCTGAGGGGAAGGAGGGGCGCAGGGGGACACAGCCAGGAACTGGGCTCCAGGACTCAGCTTTGGTGAGCAGATGGGCCTTTAACCCACTGACCAATCAGGGGTTGGGCTGGCCAGAGAGGAGGCTCGGCCTTGGTCTAGGGGATACTTTTCAAATCCACAATATACTCAAATGGCCAATAATCACACGCCCTTGTGATTGATGCCAATGCCAGGAGCATTTTCTAAGAAACTTAGCTGAGGATGAGCTTTGGGATCCAACACGGCTAATGGCCATCTGCAGAGGAGTAGAGCCTCCTCAAATATAATGGAGGGCCCGTGCACTCAGTGAGGCTGCTGGAGAGATTATTACACAAGTGTTCTAGCAAGGATATGAAAATCTATTTACACTGGGAAAGCAAAGAAATGTATTTGATTTCATTAATTATACCAGTAAAGGTAATGATAATATTACTTACTATTTTCTATAACAGAGGATAAAGCAAACACATAATTATGGCATATCCCAATTCCATCATTTCCTTTGTGCTAAAGAATGAGGATTCCTGGTACAGAATTAAAAACCTGTCGATGGACTCTATTTCCAGATAAGTAAACAACCTTTAGTCTTGTATTTGAAAGGGGAATAGCTTGATGCATCCATCTTTTATCTTAAAAAATATTTTTGATGAAATAGTTCTTGGTACTGTCCGATGGAAAGGCCTAGAAACATTCTCTAATAACCAATCATGAATATCACTACACCCAGTCTGTGGGCTTGAAATTCATTTTCTACTCTATGGATTGAGGGGATTTTAGAGAAAAAGCTGATTCAGGGTCTGGGGCAAGGAAGCTTGGAGCCCACGTGGCCCCACAATGTCCCAGAGCCAACTAGACAGCCCCCTAGTCAGAGGGAATTTCAGCTTCATGAAGGGTAATAATTATAATACTTAGAATTTTAGTTCAATCTTAGAGCTTATAATCACTCAAAAACAGAAATAAACTTAATGGGTCACCTTTGAGGTTGAGAGGGAACAAGCCTGTTATCTTAAAAAAAATGAGAGTTGGGACCTCCCTGGTGGCACAAGGGGTTAAAACACAACCTATGGAGCTATCCGCAGCCTCTGCAGCATGAGATCGATCCCCAGCCAGGGAGCTACCCACATGGCACACCAGACCTCTTCTGGCTCGCCCGCTGCTCCCCTCAGTAGTGTATTTCTGTCGATCTGCCTGTTCTGCTCCCCCCTCTGTCTCTGGTGAATCTTCTCACCCACCACACCTCTGGCCTGTACCCCGGCTCTTGTATGTATAAATTAATAAATCTTTAGAAAAAATGAGAGTGAACAGAGAGCATATTCCCCCTCCATGTTCATATGCACATGACACTGGGTCACGGTGAGAGATGGGGATACATCTCCATGAAAAGATTAATAAATGAGAAAGAAAAGTTGAAATTAAGGAACCACCGTTCTACAAATCCACCAACAGTTAATGGTCCAGGCAGTTGGCATAAAATTCTGTAACCCTCACTAAGAAAGAGACACCACTTTGGACACCTTCTGATGCAGGAACCCAGCCACACCTACATCCTGGCTAAAGGGATGTACTGGGTGATAAAATATCTAGATAAAGCAAACTGTTCCAGAAAAACCAGAAGTTGGGGCATCTGAAAGGACAGGGGTGGCAGCCTGAGGAAGCTTTCCCAGCTCCTCAGTTCAGAGTGAGTAAGCAGGACCTGGGCAGAGGCAGGGAGGGTAGAGACTACATGGATGGTCTGGGGTGGGGTGTGCAGGGGGCTCCAGGCAGAGAAAGGTGCCTGGAGCATGTGGGGAGGGACAAGCCTGGCTGGGTGACCCTCTTGGTCGCAGAGGACTGCATGGCCTGGCCTGGAGCACTCCTGCCTTCCACAAAGCTCCTTGGGCCAAGTCCTACTTCCAAAGGCACAGAAACCAGGCTGAGAAATGAGGCTGCAGCAGGTGGTCCTGGACTCCACCCCAGGGGCCTCCTGAGCAGGGAGGCCCAGACCCAAAGGCCTCAGCTCCCTGAGAAACAGGGCTGCTGGGGCTCTGCAGCCTGGAAAGGGAGGGTCACGCCACCTCCTGGTGGTGACAGGGACACTGCAGCCACCTCCCCCAGGTCACACACACACAAGCAGTCAGGGCTTCTATGCAGAGGCTTTTATTGCAGGTAAAGGTGCTGAAATGAGTCAGGGTTTAGTTATTGGCCATGGTCTCCTGAATCCAGGGCAGGAGAGAAGTGATACGATGGCAAACGAAAGGTTTATAGGTCAAGGAATATAGGGTACCACGGGACAGGATGCACGCAAGTGTCCAGGCTCCATCCTTCAAGCAGACCAGGGGGCCACCAGAGTCGCCCTGTGGGAGGAGAATGATTCAGCCTGAAATCCAGAAATGGGTGGTGGAGACTTGTGTGCCCTCACCCAGCTACATACGTGTTGTACCGAGAAATGACAGGTGGGCTCTATAGTAAGCAGCAGAAACTTCCACCTAGTGAAAAGGCTGCACAGATATGCACCCAAGTCAGGGGTCCAGAACCCTGCCTTAGCTGTCTCCACAAGGCGTCTATTTGCTACTCTTGGCTTCTCTGGGCATTGGGTAAGGGCTGATTGTGAGGGGATCATGGACAAGCGGTGGCCCTTGCATTGCACAAGAATGGACAACCCAGTGAGGGTCTGGGCAGAGCTAGGCCTACCTTGGAGAGGCCGACACCGCTGGCCCCGGCGCAGATGAAGTCTTCAGTGATGGCTGGGCCCCAGTACCTCCTGCAGTCGGCGAGGGGCAGCAGCGGAATAGGGGCCTGCTGCAGCGTGATAGAGGTCCTCTTGACTGCAAGGACAGAGGGGCCAGGGAGAGGTCAGAGCCCCTCACTGCAACACACCCTGTGTAGAGGACACTGGATCCTCTGAGTTCCCTCCACACCCCTCCAATGGCCCGTCCACCTGCTTTACCGTCACCAGCACTGTGGGTCATAGTCCTGCACCCCTGTGGGCCTTAAATATGCCTGTCCTTCCAGGCACCCCGGGTGGGGGGGCTGACTTTGCTCCCAGCACAGTGGATGACACAGGCCCTGCCTGCCCAGCCTGATATAGCCTGGGTCCTGCCAGCCCGAGTGTTGGGGGCTCAGGGGCAGCATCTGTCCCCATTGGAAGGGGACGGAAATACCTCTGCCTGGAGACCCCACTCTGAGAGTGACAAAAGATGACAAGGTGGAGGGGCCACCAGGCTTGACTCCCAGGCCTCCAATGCTACCCTGAATTCCTGACCACCTAGACAGGGCTGGATGGCAGCATCATACCGCCAAGCTCAGCTTGGGGGAAATCTGGGCTGCAGGGGTGTGACCACCTAGTCAACAAGAGCAACCTGACCTGACAACACCCTCCCTGCGGCCTGTCCCTACGCCTACTCCCAGCTCCTGTCCCCACCTCCCACGCTCCAAGCCAGCCACGCAGGGCTCCCATCCCATATGAACATCCCATTTTCTTTCCCTTTGGCTTTTGTCCCATCGGCTTTTCCCACCCAGATGCCATCTCTGAATGCGTCTCCTTCATCACATAGGACTCATGTAGGCGTGGAGGTCCTGCTGGGATCCAGCTGTGTCTCCAGAAACTGACATTAAAAGACATCACTACCCCCATGTCCAGATGTTTGGTAGGTTTTCAGTAAGAGCTTTATAACAAAGAAGCAGATGTATAAGGGACAGTGTTGGGTATAAGAAAATGCATAAAACCTCACTGTCCCACCTGCTATTCAGGCAGCCAGGCCACAGACACACCTCCTGGGTGACAAGGCCATGGTCACTCACCCTTGGGGTTGGGGTATCCATACCCTGTGACGACACAGGGAGTCCGTGGCTGGACGAAGTCCCCAGCTCTGGGCAGGTGCACGGGGGACACTCTTGCGGAGAAATTGGCAGGTGTAGCCAGCTTCAGCAGGGCGATGTCATTGAGGGCAGAACGCTCAGTAAAGGAAGGGTGCCGGAAAACCTGTGGGGGAGGCAGGAGGAGGAGTGAGGTGGGCTACATCTGGGATCTACAGGACTCTGGAGACCAATCCCAACCAGTGGCCCATTCAGGGGACACAAACATGGAGGCCCAGCAGAATTAATTGAGCTGAGCTCTTGTCTCACAAGCAGCTGAGGGGTCTTCTCCCATTGCCCTGTAGCAACCCCTCCATGAGCCTCTGGGGTCTGTCCTCAAGGCCTTCTTACCTGGGCAACCTTCAGCATCTGGGCTATCCTCCAGTCTGTACGCCGGTCAACCATCCCAGCTACAACCATAGTGGAAACTCTATGGCAAGAAGGTGAGTTGAGGAGGTAGGAGGTGCCACTCCCCTCCCCCACCCCATTATTGTCCCTCGGCCTCACTTGACTTCGCAGTGGCCAGCGGTGATCAACCAGTTGTCACTGATCAGAGAAGCTCCACAAGCGACGTCACCATCTCTATGCTGGAAGAAGAGGGAAGGGTAAGCTCCTGCCCAACCAGAGCCACAATGAATTAGGCCACAGCCCCCACCCCACCCTCACACCCTGCAGTGCCTGATCCCAGTAGGACCCCCACTTAGGTGCAGGATCCCACTCACCAGCAGAGTCACATGCCAGGGCCAGGAGCCAGGGCGAGCAGTCACCCCATTGACGATCCTGCTGGTGATGGTTATTTTGGAGTGGGAGGCAGAGGCCTCATGTCCTAGGGGATGGGAATCTGTGAGTAGAGCTGAGAAACAGGGTTGCACCACAGACACCATAGCCCCTACTGCCACACTCTTCTCCTTCTGGAAGCTTCCTGAGGCACCCCAACCCATAGGCTGCAAGATCACACACACCCTGCCTGCTGTCCCCTGTCACGCTTGCAGGGAAACAGAGAGGCAGGCAGCTCCATCCGGGCCACCCTGCCCAGAGGAGCAGAAATAGGCTGAGAAATGAGGCTTCTCTGCTCCCCCTTTCATGCTAAGAGACCTCAGCTCTCTCTGACTCTCTCACTCCCCTGGGAGCTGACTCTGACACCGCTAATGTCACATGCAAAGATCATCTGTGAAATTGGGGGTTCAAGAGTGTTTGAGATAAAATAAGAGACCCCAAGTTCCTGAGCAATCACCCCTTTGACATGTGCTAGAGTGTGTCCTGGACCTGTTTACATGGCTGAATAAATTTAAGGCTGTTGATTATTTAATAAAATAATCAACCATAAAAAGAAACATACGATACAGAAAACAAAGATGAGATTGTCCAGAACAAGGAGGACACGCAGGAACCTTGATATGTACAGACACATTTGCTGGGTCAGGACACAGGATTCCCAGCAGCACCCGGGGATGTGAGAATTTGGCCGCAGGAAGAGAGGAGGGCAGGGCCAGCTCCAGAGTCCCGCAGGCCTTACTCCAGGCAGCACCTGCCTCTGGGGACAGGGACATGGCCCGACCACTCCCTCAATCTGGTGTCTCCAAACATGTCATCTTCTCATCTTTTTGTAATGACCATAAAACCACTAGCAATAGCTGTGAGGGGCTCACCCTGCAGAGCCCTTCATAGCAATGGAGTGGGGGACCGGGTCCCCTGTGCAGGGAGGAGCCTGAAATCTCACAGGAGTGGGGACAGCAGGTGTGACAGGGACGGGCAGGAAATACAGGGAGGAGCTTCCCCCACTGAGCCCTGGTTCTGGTTATAAGCAGGGAGTGAGTGTGTGAAGCTGCACAGAAGTGACAGGCACCCTATTGCAGGCCCAAAACCCAGACACTCACCAAGGGCAGCCCCAAGCAGCGTGAAGCAGGAGAGAAGCCAGAGGAAGCCCATGGTGCTGCAGTCAGGAGGTGTGGGGCTGCCAGCTCTGGGTCCCTGTTTATACCCCCGGAGCTCTAAGTCCCGCCCAGCCCTCTGGGCCATTCCTGACCTGAGGCCTCCTACTTTTACTGGAACATGTCCAGTAACGTGTCCGTAGTCCCAGCCTGAGATTGCCCACCACCTGGGAAAACAGCCGCTACCTGGCCCCCAGAATCCTGATCAGAATTGGCAGCTCCTGCTTTGAAGAATCCTCGGGTCGGCTATTGGAAGCCTCTGATTGCAACATGGAGGCGGCAGATGCAAAGCAAAGTCTCATCTACAAGGGAGCCTCACCCAGGTCTCTGGTCACACAAGCTCAGCATCAAAGACTCAATTTCAAAAGATACTCCAGAGCCAAGAACCTCAGGCTGCTGCTTTCTCTCAGGAAATCACCCCAAGGCATTGAAAACCAGAAACACAGGAAAACGTGAGCTCCTTTGGGAATGGATCTCAGAACCAACTTGAACAAGTTGCATCACAGCACATGAGGGCAGGAGGGTACCTCCAGGGGTACAAGTGAATTAATTCTTTCTTGAACATTCAATTTTTAAGTAATAAGTCACTGTATAAACTTTTAGTTTCTTTCAATGAGGCTTTGGATATTCACTGTATAATGGCCTTTGAGGACACAGAAGGCTCAGGGTTGATACTAGGGAACAAGCAGGAGAGCACAGGAAGGCCAGGAGCAGGGATGTGCCCTGGAGGCTCCTGCCCTAAGTGGGGCCACAGGACCTCAGCCTCCCGGGCAGGACCCTCTCTCCCCAGGTCAGGCCCTTCTAGGTCCCAGGCACCCACATGCACAGAGCACCCCTGCCCTCGGGATCCAGAACAGTGAGAGAGACACTCACCAAGTAAGAACATCACGTGACAGGTCCCCCAAAGCGGTAGGGGCTGCTGCAGTCAGTGTTGGGGCTCCCTGGGGAGATACCCCCTGGGAGAATTGAATCTTCTCCCAAGACCTCGGCCTGTGCTCACCTGGGAGAAGCAGGTCAGAGGGAGCAGGCGGCTCCTGGGCTCAGGACAGTGACCCTGGCAGGAGCTTCTGGGGTGGGACATGTGGGGATTCAGGGAGACTGGCGCCCCTGGACAGGCAGGAAGCGCTGGCCTGTCCCTTCTGCCCCCTCTGCTTCTCCCTGTCCTGCTGTCGCTTCCAGCCTATGTCATCCACAGAGCCCCCAGTGCAGCCTCCAGGGAGGATGGGCCTCAGGAACTCGGAGATGAGCAGCCCCAGGGGGGGATTCAAACAGGGGGAGCTGCCCGGCTGAGGGAGGGTGAGTCACAGCAGAGAGGAAGGCGCCAGAGCAGAGGAGGGGCAGAGCCTGTGAGGGGAGTTGGATCTAAATCTGTCAGTCACCCTCAGAGGAATCACATTCAGCTTTAAGCTGAGCTCAAAAACAAGACAGATGAAACAAAATGAATACACAGGCTCTTTATAAAAACTCAAAGCAATTTCAAACGGCAGCTTCCTTTCTTTACATGAACAAGCTAAACACTATGGACTTAGTCTTCTTTGAGAATATATGGGGTGTTGCTGCTTAGGTTCTGATAGCTTCTGTTATTGAGACAACATTAATTACAACACTAAATATGATTTTCAGGGCCTGTTGTGAACGTGCCCTCCTGGTTGACAGAGCCTGGAGGCTTGTGGGGTGCAGGGAGGGCAGGGAGGGCTGCCCCTCCACAGTGAGGGCCCAGGAGGCCCAGGGGACCAGGTCACAGCCTGCATTTGCACCCATGTGCTACTTCAGGAGGTTGCTTTTGGTGCCAGCCCATCCCCGCTGCCAACCACCCTGAGGTGAGTGCCCCAGGGTGCAGGGGGATCTCTGTGACAAAGAGCACAGCCACTGCCACCTGCCATCCCACAGCCACCTCCCTCCAGCATATCACTCAGACCCTGACACAGGGCACCCGCTAATGAATTCTCTTCCAACCAGATGCCACCACCTTCACTCTCACCTTGTGTTGGTGCCTCCCCACACGGTGAAGTGTCCTCATTGCCAGCCGCTCCAGCTTTCAACCTCAGATCGCTAACAAGTGCTTGCTCAGGGGCCCAGTCCCTGTGCTCAGGCCTCAGCTGCAGACCCCAGGAAACAGCCTCCGGGTGAAGATGAGCAGCAGGGAGTGCATGGGGGAGCTCCTGGCTCCCACACCCTGAGGGGAAGGAGGGGCACAGGGGATGCAGGCAGGAACTGGGCTCCTGGGCTAAGCTTTGGTGAGCAGATGGGCCTTTAACCTACTGACCAATCAGGGGTTGGGCTGCCCAGAGAGGAGGTGCAGCCTTGGTCAAGGGGATTTTCTTCAGCTGAGGCCATTCCAGAGCAGCCTGTCCGTTAAGGGTCTGGGCTGACCACACTCCCTGCAGCTGGGATGTCCATCCACCCTGGAGGGGTTGGGACAGTCAACATAGGATCCACCATGTCTATCCCATCTTCATGACTGGTCACATCAGATTGTGTAGATGCCAGTGGGACCCACATGGTGTCCATATCAAAGGGATTCCTGTCAAAGTTGCACAAGACTCCAAAAGCACAAGCAACAATAGAAAAGTACTGAGGAATTGTCAAAATTAGAAACTTCTCTGTATCAACGGACATTGTCATAAACAACGTGATACAGACACTACAAATTTGGAGAAAATTCTGCAAGGCATGTATCTGAGAGTCATTTATATGCATGATTGTAAAGGCAGGACAGGACACAGTACAGCTTTCTGATCCCATGCAGACCGGGTAAAGGAGGAGTCAGAGTCCTCAGTGGCTTTTGCAGGTCTTTTTACTGGGGTTCACCAGGCATATGGCAGGCAGGGGTGCTGGGTCGGGGGCTGGGAGGCCTCCCAGCCCCCAGCAAGTCTTCACTCTATCTGAGCTCTCTGGAGTTCGTTCTGCTGCTTCTCGGCTTCTCCTTCGGCTTCGGCTTCTACTGCTGCTGCTGGCGTCCCCGTGACGCCGCCCTTAAAAGCACAGTCTTAGCTCAGCTGAATCCCATCTACCTCTGCCCACACCCTACTCCAGGTGCCCGCCATCAGGCATGCATTCAGGACAAGGATCCATCATCTGTCCTGATGGTGGGAGGGCAGAAAAGCCTGACATTTTCTTTACCCTACAATGATATATAAAGAACTTGTAAAAATCAAAAACAAAAAAAAAGACATTGTGAAACCAGGTAAAAGGACTTGAAATAATTTCCTAAACAAGACCCACCAACAGTGAATCACCACATCAAGTGTGGTTGATGCAGGATCAGGAGTGTTTCCTGAGAAATTTCCCTGGATGCAATGTGGCTCTGGAGACATGGACAGAGGACAAGACTCACTCAGTTAGTGACTCACCCTGCCCTCACTCAGGCTACGGCACACGTTAAAACACAAAGGCCCCATGCAGATATGAAAACTATGATGAGGAATCCAAAATAATTGAACTGATTTCATTAATTATAGTGGGGATGATGCTTCATTTGCTGTGAATAATAGGGTGTAAAGGCAGGAACGGCCATAGTGCAGGCTTTCTGATCCCATGCAGACCAGGTAAAGGAGGAGTCAGAGTCCTCAGAGGTTTTTGCAGGTCTTTTATTGGGGTTTACCAGGCATATGGCAGGCAGGGGTGCTGGGGGGCCGGGAGGCTGGCAGGCCTCCCAGCCCCCAGCAAATCTTCACTCTATCTGGGCTCTCTGGCCTTCTCTGCTTCTTCTTCGGGCTTCTTCTCTTTGGGCTTCTGCTGCTGCTGGCGTCTCCGTGAAGCCACCCTTAAAAGCACAGTCTTAGCTCAGCTGAATCCCATCTACCTATGCCCACACCCTATTCCAGGTGCCCGCCATCAGTCATGCACTCAGGACAAGGACCCATCATCTATCCTGATGGTGGGAGGGCAGAAAAGCCTGACATTTTCTTTACCCTACATAGGGGTAAAGCTAATACTTAATTATGGGATCTCTAGTTTCATCATTCCTCTGGGCTAAAGGACTAAGGTTAAAAATATGTCAACATACTAATTTACAGTTAGCTACAATGACAATGTTGACTTTTTTTTAAAGATTTGTTTGTTTATGCATACAAGAACTGGGGTACAGGCCAGAGGTGCAGGGGGTGAGAGGACTCACCAGAGACAGAGTGGGAAAGAGAACAGGCAGATTGACTGAAATACACTGCTGAGGGGTGCAGCGGGTGAGTCAGGAGAGGTCTGCTGCACCACGTGGGTAGCTCCCTGGCCGGCCGGGGATGAATTCATGCTGCAGAGGCTGTGGATAGCTTCATCGTGCGGTGCTTAACCCCTTGCGTCACCAGGTAGGCCCTGACCTGGTAAATTTGAATTGGAAAATTCTCTATGAACCCATGACAGGTACTAATCTTAAAAATTCTTGATGATGAAATAGTTTTGGTTCTGTCCATCGGCAAGGTCTAAAACAGTGACCAATATAGGGATCATGAGTGTCCCTGAAGCCCATACTGTGAGCTTGCACTTCCTTTTCTATATAAATAATCTAGTGGATTTTAGAGAAATTGCTTATACAGGATCCATGGGATCTTGTCAAACCAGATAGCAAGGAGATTTCAAACCATGTTGGCCTTGTCAAAACCCCAGAGCCAAATTGCAAAATTCTCAGTAATCAATGGGGACTGATTTGATGAAGGGTAAATATTACAATGGCTAGAACATTTGTTTTAATACAGAGCCAATAACAACTCAAAAGCAGAAACAAAATTGATTTAGGTTACATTGGAGGATGAGAGGAAACAAGTTCAAGATCCTAAAAATCAAAAAAGTATTTCCTTTGAATGTTCCATAGCATGGTACTCTGAGTCACTGATGATAGATGTAGAGGCATCTCCACGAAATGATTTCATTTAATAAATGAGAAATAAAGTGGAATTAAGTTCCATCATTTTGCAAGTCCTCTGAGATACAGGCCTCATGATCTGTGATCCTCACAAAGAGATTCCAGTCCTGACACCTCCTGCTGCAGATATGCCCATCTAGAGCCTGGCAAAGGGGTGGGCGTGAGGGTAAAGTCTCTAGAGGTAGCAGCCAAATCCAGAATATCCAAAGACATGGGCACTTGAAAGGACAGAGGAGCCAGCCTGTTGTCCTGTAAGGAAGATTTCCCAGCTACTCTGTTTAGGTAAGATTTTGCAGGACCTTGGTAGAAGCAGGAAGGGTGGGGACTGCATGGATGGTCTGGGGTGGGGTGTGCAGGGGGCTCAAGGCAGAGAAAGGTGCTGGAGCATGTGGGGAGGGACAAGCCTGCCTGGTTGTCCATCAGGTCCCAGGGCCCACCCTGCTGGGCGGAGGACTGCATGGCCTGGCTGGAGCACTCCTGCCTTCCACAAAGCTCCTTGGGCCAACCCAGCTGCCAAAGGAGCAGAAACCAGGCTGAGAAATGAGGGTGCAGCAGGTGGTCCTGGACTCCACCCCAGGGGCCTCCTGAGCAGGGAGGACCAGACCCAAAGGCTTCAGCTCCCTGAGAAACAGGGGCTGCTGGGGCTCTGCAGCCTGGAAAGGGAGGGTCATGCCGCCCCCTGGTGGGTGACAGGGACACTGCAGCCACCTCCCCAGGTCACACACACACAGTCAGGGCTGCTTTACAGAGATTTTTATTGAGGATAAGGGTTCACCAAAGGGGGGATCAGAGCTTAATATTTGGCGATGGTCTCCTGAATCCAGGGCAGGAGAGACGTGACACGGGGGCACAGGATAGGTTTATCGGTGGAGTTAAGTGTGCTGCTATAGGACAAGATGCCCACCAGATTCCAGGTTCCTTTATTGCTGCAGACCAGAGGACCACCAGAGTCTCCCTGTGAGAGGAAAAATGATCTGTCACACTCCTGAAGTGGGTGGTGGACAATTGTGTGCCCTGACCTGGCTAAATACAGGTTGTACTGAGAAATGACAGGCGGGTTCATTAGTAAGCACCAGAAATTTCCATCTAGTGAAAAGGCTGCACAGCTCTGCCACCTAGCAGAGGCACATAACCACATCTGGAAAATAGGGATCATGAGTCATGTAGGAGATGTCTCCCCCAGGAGAGGGGTCCCCACCCCACCACCACAGTTGTCACTACGGGGCATCTGTTTGCTGATCCTGGGTCCCAGGGCACTGGGGCTGATTGTGAGGGATCATGGGGCAAGGAGTAGCCCTTTCAGACTATGAAAGGAAGGAGAGCCAGGCCATACCTTGGAGGTGGTGACACCATTGGCCCCGGCACAGATCATGTCATCAGTGACAGCTGCACCCCAGTACTTCTTGCACTCAGACATGGGCAGGAGGGGCAGGGAAGCCTCCTGCAGCGCGTTAGAGTTCCTTTTGGCTGGAAGCACAGTGGGGCCAGGAAGAGATCAGAGCCTTTCACTGTCCCAAACACCCTGAGTTCTTCCTCCCCATCTCCCCACCTACTGGACCGTCACCCCATCAGCATGCTGTGAAAACGTGAGTCCTAAACCTCCTGTCTACTATAAACATGTCTGTGGACACAGGCCTCCCGATTCTAACCCAATCCGGGCTGACGTTTCTCCAAGAACCACTGATGAACAAGCCCTGCCTGCCCAGCCTGATGTGGCCTGGGTCCTGCCAACGCGGGTTTTGGGGGGCACAAGGGCAGCACCCTCCTCCTCAGGGAAGGGGACTGACATTCCTCTTACTAGAAACCCTACTCTGGGGGTGACAGGGAACTCCCTCCACACTGCCCCTTCCTGGCGGCTGCTGTTCTGTGGAAGGACCAGCTGGGTAGCCCTGGCCTCGGCAGAAGGACTTAGGACTCTGGAGGACACCATCCCCAGCACAGATCATGTGATCTGTGCCAGCCCTGGGGAGGGGACACCAGGCTGGACTTAAGGACGTGTGCCTGGAGGCCCCTCCACCAGCAGGAACTGGCAGGTGGCTGCACCCCGGCCCACTCAGGCCTGGTTGGGTTGCCAGGCTTCCTGCATTTGGCAGGGCCTGCTGGGACCGAGCTGTGTCTCCAGAAACTGACATTAAAGGACATCACTACCCCTGTGTCCAGGCACACTTGGTGGGTTTTCAGTAAGAGTTTTATAACAAAGAAGCAGACATATAAGGGACAGTGTTGGATGTAAGAAAAACACATAAAATCTCACTGTCCCACCTGCTATTCAGGCAGCCAGGCCACAGACATGCCTCCTGGGTGACAAGGCCATAGTCACTCACCCTTGGGATCTGGGACACCCCAGCCTGTGATGACGCACTTGGTCCCAGGGGGGAAGTTGTCCTCAACTTTGGGCAGGCACACGGGGGACACTCTTGGGGAGATGTGCGCAGGTGTAGCCAACTTCAGCAGGGAGATGTCATTGAGGACAGAACCCGGGTAATGGGAAGGGTGCCGGAAAACCTGTGGGGGAGGCAGGAGAAGAGTGAGGCCTTGATCCATCAGGGATCTGCAGGATTCAGGAGACAAACCCCACCCACAGCCATTCAGGGGACACAGACAAGGAAGGCCGAGAAGCATTAACACGAGGCCCTTCAGCTGGGCTCCTGTCTCACAAGCACCTAAAGGGTCTTCTCCCATTATCCCTTTGCAACCCTTCAAATAGCCCCTGGGGCCTTCCCTCAAGGCATTCTTACCTGGGCAACCTTCAGGATCTGGATATTCCCCCAATTCGAGCGCGGTTATCCAGCCCAGCCAGAACTACACTGGATTCTCTGAGGGAAGAGGAAGTGATGAGGAAGGAGGTGGTGACATGCCCCACCCCCACGCCCTTATTGTTCCTGGGCCTCACGTGACATTGCAGTGGGCAGCAGTGACCACCCAGTTGTCAGAGATCAAGGAGCCCCCACAGGAGACATCACTGTTACCTTCCTGGAAGAACAGGGGATGGTAAGCATTGGCCCTACAAGAGCTGCACTGACCTGGGCCACAGCTCTCACCCCATCCCTACCCCCGCTGTGACCCCTGTTTATGTGCAGACTCCCACTCACCTGCAGAGACACATGCCAGGGCCAGGAGCCAGGGCGAACTTTCACTCCATTGACGATCCTGGCCATACTGTTCATTTTGGAGTGAAAGTTATGGGCCCCACAACCTAGGAAAAGGGGGTTTGTGAGTAGAGCTGAGAAACCTGGTTGCAGCACAGCCCCTACTGCCACACATGCCTCCAACTGGAAACTTCCCAGGAACCCCAACCCAAAGTGGAAGGTCACACACCCCTGCCTGCTGCCCCAGTCACCCTCCCAGGGATGCGGAGGGACAGGCAGCTCCATCCGGGTCACCCGGCTCAGAGGTCTGGGTTTCCGACCTCAACTGATGATGAGCACCATCCAGCCCCACTGCAACCAACACTGCAAGGCTGATCCAGAGATAAGCTGAACCAGAGATTAGCTGATGGCAGTAAAGAATTCCAGCAGGCCCCCTCTGGCAGTAGAGACCCCTGCCCCTGGCAGTAGAGAATTCAACCCCCTCTAGCAGAGGAGACACCCCCCTGAAACCAACCACTTTTGGCAGAAACTCCAGCAATAGCCCAATCTTGGGGTGCGACCCTCACTCTGCTAGAGCTGAGAGCCGCTCCTCATGGGCTTTGCTATCTGCTTCAGTCTGATTCTCTTGGCCTCCTTTTCTAACACCCTTCCCTGCTGGGAGATCTCAGCAGCCTCTGATTCTCTCAGGTTCATTTTGTCCAGTAAAACGGGGAGCAAACATTGCTTATCTCACAGGCAATGCTCACTTGTGAATTTGGTGTGCATAAGGGTTTAAATTAAAATCAGAGAACCCCACAACCTTGCGAATCACCCCTCTGACACATCGCTAGAGTGTGACCTGGAACCATTGGCTTGATACTCAGTTCTGGAGATTTCAGTACATTCCAGGTTATGAATTATCCTTAAAATAGGACCTTGATTCTATACCATAGACAGACACATGGAGGAAATAGAAAACAGAGGACGAGATTGTCCAGAACAAGGAGGACACGCAGGACCCTTGATACGTGCAGACACATTTGCTGGGTCAGGACACAGGATCCTCAGCAGCTCCCAGGGGTGTGAGAACTTGGCCACAGGAAGAAAGGGGGGCAGGCCCAGCCCCTCCCACCAGTCATGGCACCCCAGGGTCCCCCAGGCCTTGCTCTAGGCAGCACCTTCTCCTGCCCCTGGGAACAGGGACATGGCCCGGCCACTCCCTCAGGCTGGTGTCTCCAAACATGTCATTCTCCTCATCTTTTCTTATAACAGAAAAGCCACTAGCAGTAGCTGTGAGGGGCTCACCCTGCAGAGGCTTCATAGCAATGGAGTGGGGGGCCGGGTCCCCTGTGCAGGGAGGAGCCTGAAATCTCACAGGAGTGGGGCCAGCAGGTGTGACAGGGACGGGCAGGAAATACAGGGAGGAGCTTCCCCCACTGAGCCCTGGTTCTGGTTATAAACAGGGAGTGAGTGTGTGAAGCTGCACAGAAGTGACAGGCAGGGGCTCAGCAGAGGCCCCTTCCCAGGGGAGGGGGGAGCAGGGAGCTGCTGAGGCTAGTGTGGGTGTCAAAGAAATCCCTAAAAGAAATCTGTGAAAAGAAACATTTGACAAATTCAAAGGTTGAATACATAGATTTCATTAATTTTGTAATTTTACTATTTTTCCTGCCTTGTTTAAAGGAATAAACAACACGTAGCAGTCTTGCACTAAATAAATCCCAGAGGAAGTGTTAGGGGCTTCTTGAGATCACACCCCTAGTATGTGAAACTTTTGTTTCACCCCCTAGTGTAGGCACAGCCCCTACCTGAGCCCCTTCCGGGGCTTGTGTCCTCCTTGGGCCGAAATGGTTCCTCCACACTGGCACAGAGTATGGGGGCTCAGTGATACCGGATTTGTCAGGCCTAGTCTCCCAGCCAGGAACAGATCCCAGGCTGCAGGGCAGCGCTGAGCCCCAGCCGCTAGACCCCCACGGGTTGGTGTCTCACGAAGCCGCAGCAGGAACTTCGCAGACGCTCAGGCAAGCAAGCGAGCAAAGGCAGGTTTGTTTAGAAGAAGAAAAAGTTTATTGGAGGGGCAAGGAAGCCAAAGTGGAGTCATATCTCAGGGAATATAGACCTTTTTCCCCTCATTATTCTAAAGCTGCCCCAGTCTCTTTGTGATTGGTCAGTTCTCGGCTGTCTCACTCAATTTGCTACTGAGTGGGGATCTTCACATTCCTTATCCAACAGCTTTCTCTTTCCCCGTTTGTTGCATCTTTAAATTTATGGCCCAGTCTTCTGGATGGGCATCCCTGCATTGAAGTTAAACAGCTGCCCTTGTAATGTGTCCATACATTAAACCACTCTCCATTTCCCCAATCTCCGCCTCCCTTTACCACCTGAAGGAAACCAGGACCAGCGTTAACAATGTTGTTCTTGGTCCTGGCATGTTTGTTTTTCCTAATGGAATGGGTTACTTTCCCTTGCTTGTCCTTATCTCTGAAGCCTCCCTAAATTTTTCAGAGGTCCCCTCCTGCACTGTCCCTAAAACTGCCTAATAACCCTAGCTTGCCCTGTCTCATTCCCCCCTTTTACAAATGGAGCCCTAACTGCAGTTAGGGAAAAGGGACGTAGGTCTGATCAATGACTGCTTCCTGCTGAGAGTGGGCGACGTGGGGAGACAGTTAGGGTTCCACAGTAGGATGACGATTTAAGGGACCCCGGAAGATGGACCGTGGAGACGTCATTTTGGGTTTTATTTGCAGGACCATTTGGAGCTTGATGGCCTCCAGGCGAGCAGAGATGATTCCGAGGAGAGTATTAAGGATGCAGGGCCCAAACAAAAGAACAATAAAGAGAATTAGTAAGGGAACGAGAAAAGGCAGTAGCCAGGACAGAAGTTGTCCTTTTATAGAAGCAAAGATTGCTTGTGTCCAGCTAAGCCCTTGCCCTGCCTGTTTTTTTGAGATTATTTACAATTTGTATATTTTTTAGTATTTTAAATTTTTTTATACCTTATGAGAAGTATTTATTTAAAAGCAACATGTTTTATTTAAGAGGGCACAAACTCCTTTAACTTTAGTCATCGGCAGGTCTAGGGTTCTGCGATTTTGTATTGCCACTGAGACTAGAGATTTTAAGGAGCAATGTTGGGCTAGTGCCCTAAACACTTGGAGGTGTTATAGCCAAAATGACAGAATTAGTGAGACCTAGGACTTCAGTACCATTTTATGTTTAGTAGCAGCAGCTAGGAGAGCCAAGGTGGCTGTGGAGGCTGCTAGTTTGGAATTTAGTTACAATTTTCTCCATCTTAATAGTTAGGAAAACAAAACTAAAAATGTATAAACAAGTAGCCTTGTAGCCAGCAAGGTAGCAGTGTTGTAAAGTATCCTGGCTCAGGCTGGCCAATTGTACTAGTGAGGGGGACAATTGACCAGTAGGTCAGTCAAAAGAATTGGAGGAAGGCAGAGTAAGTGGCCCCTTAATTACCAAAAAGGTGAACTTTATGTCTGCCACTTTTAGGGTCACCCGAGGCTTGTCCATATAAACAGTAAACAGGGGAGTTTCTCTCACCTCTGGGCTTCTTCAGAGATCTTCTCCTGCACCTGGTTCTTCATAGTCAGAGGCAGCTGACGGTCAAACCTGTCCTCCCATCCTGGCCCGTGGTTTGGGCTGGCCCCTCCCTCTCTGGAGAGTGGGACAGTCCCTTTTTAGTGCCCTGTGTGATGGCACAGAAGGCATGGCCCTGGGGACAGCTTTTTGCAGCTAAGGTGTCCTGGTTGCAGGCAGTGGAAGCAAGCTGGCAGCCCATTAAGAGGTTGAGGCCCCAAATGCCCTAGGGCACATGGGGCCTTGGGTGAGTCTGAGGTGGCAGGGTACTAACAGTGGCAACTGCCATTGACTGGCCCTTCTCTTGCCTTTCTCTCCCTTTCTTTTTAGTCTAGTTAGTCCCCTCCATATTACTATAGGCCTTGAAGGCCGTGTTTAAAAGTGTTAAAAGGATTTTAGGCCCTTGTCCTTATCTCTGAAGCCTCCCTAAATTTTTCAGAGGTCCCCTCCTGCACTATCCCTAAAACTGCCTAATAACCCTAGCTTGCCCTGTCTCATTAGGAATGCCCATGAGGACCCCTCTCCTCCCTGCAAATTCAGGTTAGCTCTCAGGGCTTGAGACTCAGAGCCCCCTTACACTGGCCCCTGGACGTCCCTGGAGACATCCCTCATGACCCTAAGATGGAGCATGGTGATGATCACTGGGGCTCGTATAACCACAGAATCCTCCCAGCCTGAATTACCCTGGACCACGACACTCACCAGAGGCAGACCCAGTGAGGGTGAAGCAGGAGAGAGGCCAGAGGAAGGCCATGGTGCTGCAGTCAGGGTGGGTGGGGCTGCCGGCTCTGGAGCCCCTTTTATGTCCCTGGGGAATCCCAAACCCCACCCAGCCCCTATGGGCCTTCCTGATTTGAGGGCCACCCTTCCTGTTATCAGCATATAATGGACCAGCTCTCAGCTGGAGCAACCCCATCTGATGGTAAGGGTAGCTGCCCAGCCATGGGCACATTGATTAACCTCAGCATCTCCTGATTCAAGAATCCAGCTGTGGGTCCTGGGTCCATTGTGGGGGTGGCAGGTGCTCAGCAAAGGCTCATCTTCAGGGGGCCTCACCCAGGTGTTCTGGGGCACCCAGAGCTCAGCACCCAGGAGCTTAATTTCAACACATACAACAGAGCCCAGGACTTCAGCTTGCCCTTATTTCTGTTCAGGAACACTACTTGAGGCAAAGAAAGGGCTCAGTTCCCTTTAGCAATGGGCCCTTGAACCAGCCTAGATAAGCAGCTTCAGAGCATAAGATGGAAAGAAAGTATTCTCCAAGGGCTCAGCAGGATTCCTTTTTCTTGATACATCACAATTAACTATGCATTGTATAAACTTTTAGTTCCTTTACAAATGAGGATTTGTCTCCACACCATATATGGCCTGGTGAGGACTGAGAAAGCTCAGGGCTGATGTCAGGAACACGGAGGCGAGCACAGAAGGCCAGGAGGAGGGTGAGACCAGGAGACCCCTGCCCTAGGTGGGGCCATAGGACCTCAGCCTCCAGGGAGGCCCTGTTCTAGATAGAGCACCCCTGCCCTCAGGATCCAGAGCAGTGAGAGAGACACTAACAAGTAAGAACATCACGTGACAGGTCCCCCAAGCAGTTGGGGCTGCTGCAGTCAGTGTCGGGGCTCCCTGGGGAGAGACCCCCTGGGAGAACTGAATCTTCTCCCAAGGCCTTGGCCTGTGCTCACCTGGGAGAAGCAGGTCAGAGGGATCAGGCGGCTCCCGGGCTCAGGACAGTCACCTTGGGAGGAGCTTCTGGGGGGGGGGGACATGTGAGGATTTGGGGAGACTGGCGCCCCTGGACAGGCAGGAAGCATGAGCCTGTCCCTTCTGCTCCCTCTGCATCTCCCTGCCCTGCTGTCACTTCCAGGCTGTGTCATAAATTTTTCTATTATAAAGATGATAGGGTTCATTACAGAAAATCTATAAATATAAGAAAATGAATAAAATAAAAATTACTTTCTTCCTCAAAGCTCCTCTGACCTGAATTGCCAACTGTGTGCATAAAACTACTATTAGCATTTTATTTCCTGTACAGCAAAATGGGGTATAGAGCTATGGAAACGCTATATATTAATACAAAACTCAGATTGTATTAGGTTTCCGCTGTCCTGTTTCTCACTGACATAATATTTTCAGCATTTATCTGGATCTGTGAAAGTCACGCCCTGCCCTGGCAGCCCAGAGGACCATGAGAGAACAGCCCCCCATGGCGCCTTCCTCATGAGAGGGCCCCATGGACAGGGGGAGGCCCTCTTGGGCCTGGTCAGGAACAGCGCCCCAGCTCCTGCTCAGGGCCAGGGGCAGCGCAGGTCAGTGAGGAGGGACAGTGGTCATGGACAGGGAGCGTCTGACCTACGTGATGGGCACCAGGGAGGAGCTGACATGGACACGCCGGCTGGACTGGAGGCCCCAGGGAGGACAGACAGAGAAGCAGCTGGAATGTGCGTCGGGCCCCTCTGGGCTATTTCTGCAGAGCCACAGGCCCCGGCCACGCTGCCCTCTGTCCTCTCTCCATTCCGGCTGGAGCCCAGATGGGATCCTGGGGGCCCGGCCATCTGGAGGCAGGGGGAACAGCCAGTGTGTGTGTGTGGGGGGGGGAGGGCATGGGAGGGCAGGCAGTGGGCAAAGGCAGGAAGGGCCCCTGCCCTTGGGGTGCTGCCCCACCTGACCCCCACCTTGGATTCTGTCCTGGGGATGTTACATCATAGAACATGAGAAAAAACACTTATTAATCCTATTAATGCTAATTAATCACATTATCAACACTGATTCTTGGGATAGGCTTACAGGTTTGTTGTTTTCATTTCTATTACCTCTGTAATCCATGTGCAGCTACTTCTCACAATTTTATTTCCATGTTTCCAAATATATGTGGCAAGACCACTGCCTGCTCAAACACCCCTATCATGGCAACTAAAACAGGAACCTTCACTTCCGTGGGTAATGTCACTCCTTTCCAGCAAGAAGCAAGTTAAGAAAACAACACCCTAACACCTTGTATTTATAAATCCAAATTCACTTAAAGGAGGGATTTTGTGGTTGGGCCTAAGTCTAGGACCTTCAACCCTAACCTAACACTAACCTCTACCCTTGCAGTTTAGTTTGCATAGGTCACATTCCTCAGGATCATGGTAATAGGTTACATCCTCAGAGGATGCAGATAACTTCAGTGCCCGATGAACACCTCCAGGTGGTTTTAAGCTGCTAGCAGATAAGAGGGCAACTCTTCCCGAAGGGTCTGGCTGTCCTGCAGCTGGGGCCACTATACTGTCTGAGGCCTCCCCTGAACTGGGGTGAGGACACCCTGCCCACACCCTCCTGTCCCTGCATTGCCCACTCCTGGAAACTTCCTCACAACTGGACCAGGGGTGCCAACTGCGTCTCCTCCATGTGCCCGTGAGAGTCACGGACTCCTTTGGGCGCTCACTGTGGGGCTCAGGGTCGGGCTTTCTGGGTGGGGTCACTGGTCTGATTAGTTCAGTGACACGGACACCCTGAGTCCCTGGGCAGAGGGAGAGGGTGCCCCAGAGTTCAACCCAAATCTCTGCAGAGAAGAGCAAGTTCCTATCATCTACCCTCTGTCAGCTCTGAATTTTATTAGAAAAAGCATCTGGTCTACATTTTGAGATAGAATTAAAAATATGCCAGTGTATTCCATTTTCAGTTAGATGAAACATCCTTCAACCCTTAATTGAAGTGGAAATACCACTATGAATTCATGAGATGTTAGAGCCCACGTGGCCATGTCAAGTGTCCAGAGCCAACTAGACAGCTCCCACTGGTCACGGGGGGGGATTTCATCCTTATGAAGTGTAAATTATTAACCATGGTTGAAAGAACACTTTTGATCCATGAATTTATAATGGTTATGGAAAACAGAATCAAGTCTGATTGATTCTACCTGGAGGATTGTTACAGGATGAATGAAAACAATTTCATTATCTGAAAAACCAATTAAGAAAGTGTGTGAACAGCAGTGAGATTCCTCTGCGTGTTCTATACACTGTACCAGGGTCACTGAGTGACAGGTGGGGACACATCTCTAAGAAAAGCTGCCTGGTAACAAATGGCAAAGAGACGTTGTGTTATCACTATTTACATGCCCAGCAAGAATGATGGTCTAGATCTCAGGCGTCAAGGTCTGTGATGTCACAGGGGGAGAAAGCAGCCTTGACCCCTCCATGCAGGAGCCCAGCCCCCTGCAGCCTGACTGTGGGACTGACATGAGTCTGACCAAGTCTCCGGATCCAGCTGCCAAATCACACAAAACAAAAGGACACTGGGGGGCCTGTAAGGACAGGGGTGCTGAACTTATGCCCTGAAAGGAATATTTCCCAGTTACTCTGTAAAGTGTGAGTTTTTGCAGGAAATGAGTCCAAATTCAGGGAAGAATAGAGATTCCTTAAAAGGTCTGGGGTGGAGTGTGCAGGAGGCTCAAGGCAGAGAAAGGTGCCGGAGCATGTGGGGAGGGACAAGCCTGCCTGGGTGCCCTCTTGGTCCCAGGGCCCACCCTGCTGGGCGGGGGACTGCATGGCCTGGCCTGGAGCACTCCTGCCTTCCACAAAGCTCCATGGGCCAAGCCAGCTGCCAAAGGCGCAGAAACCAGGCTGAGAAATGAGCTGCAGCAGGTGGTCCTGGACTCCACCCCAGGGGCCTCCTGAGTAGCGAGGACCAGACCCAAAGACCTCAGCTCCCTGAGAAACAGGGGCTGCTGGGGCTCTGCAGCCTGGAAAGGGAGGGTCACGCCAACCCCTGGTGGGTGACAGGGACACTGCAGCCACCTCCCCAGGTCACAGACACACGAGCAGTCAGGGCTTCTGTGCAGAGGCTTTAATTGGGGATAAAGGACATTGGAATGAGAGGATCAGGGCTTAGTTGTGAGCCAGGATGTCCTCAATCCAGGGTATGAATGTAGTGACACGGGTGGCCACAAGAGGCTTCTTGGTGGGGCAGGTTCTACTGGCACAGGACACGATGCCCACCAGTACCCAGGTTCCATTCTTAGGACAGACCATGGGGCCACCAGAGTCGCCCTGCAGGAGGAGAAGCCACCTGTCTCCACGTCTGACCGCAAAGGCAGAACACTGGGAGCTCCTACCTGACCCAGTGTGAGTTGGCAAGGAATACCAGGTGAGCCTTAATTCCAGCACAGAAACTTAATTTCAGGCAGCACAGCTATACACCAGCTTTGGGAAGTGTGAATTGCACCTGGTTCTATAAATCAGCTGGAAATATCTAATTCAGGGTGTTGCCTTGTGAATAAATACACCTAGAAGGCACCCCCACGCCTGGGCTGATAAAGTATCTGGAATGCCTGTGTAAGTCATGGTCCTGGCTCTCAGGACACACATCAGGGGAAGAGGGTGTGCAGGTGTGGGGCAGAGTATCCCTTCAGCCTGACTGGGGTCAATCTGTGAGGGGCTGGGTTAGAGCAACACATACTGTGTAGGAGCAGCCACCTTTGAGCCCAGCACAGATCGTGGCAAAGGTGCTGATTCTGTGCCAGTACTTCTTGCACGTGGCTGTGGACAGGAGAGGCAGGTCGGCCTGCTGCAACTTCTCAGGGAACTTGGTGGCTGTAGACAGAGGCCCAAGGTGAGTCTGGACCCTCAACCTCCAAGCCCATCCAGGGTGGATTAGGCCCAGAGACCCCAAGTGCAGCCATTCCTGGTCACCCTCTTCCTACAATATCACCAGAGTCCCAGGCCAGAGTCCTGCACCATACAGACCTTAGAAGCCTCAAGAACATGCTGTTATTCTGATGCCACTTTAGGCTGTGGGACTTTGCTCGATGCACAGTTGACAAAACGAGCCAGCTTGTCCATCCTGGTGTGGATGGTCCTGGCAGCCTAGGGCACAGGGTCAGAGTCTACGTCCCCAGAGAAGGGGAGTGACATGCCTCTGACTGGACATCCTATTCTGGGTTGACACTGAGGTCCCTCAACTCCTGCCCTTCCTGCCTGCTGCTGTCCTGGAAAGAACTGGCCTTGTACCCAGGCCTGGGGAGAAGAGCTCAGGATTCTAGAGATAAAATGAGGCAGCGCCAATCCCGGGGAGGGGATACCAGGCTGGATTCTAAGGTCCTGAACCTACCCTGGATTCCTGACAGCCAGACAGGACCGCATGGCATCTGCGCCCTCAACATTCAGACTGGGGGAACCACCATGGGCAGCAGGGGGCCAGCGAGGCAGCACATGCTGGACAGAGCTGTGTCTACAGAACCTGAGAGTTCAAGGACCTCATGACCGCGTGTCCATACACGCCAGGTGGGTTTTCCTTTAGATGTTGCAGTAAAACAGCGCACACATTCAGGACACTGCTCAAGTGGGCACAGAACCGCAAAGCTGAGCCAACCGGGTCCTCCCTGCCATTCTGACAGCTCGACACAAGACTTATCTCCTGAGTGGCAAGGCCATGGTCACTCACCATCGGGCTGGGTTTTACCCCAGCCCATAACAGTGCACAAGGTCCCAGGGAGGAACTGGTCGTCAGCACTGGGCAGGAGAACCGGGGACACCATCTGGTGGAAGTGAGCAGCTTCCTCCAGCTTCAGCAGGGCGATGTCACTGAATAAAGTGGGAAAGTAGAACGTGGGGTGCCTAAAAATCTGTGGGTGAGGTCAACGAAAAGGAGATGAGACAAATGAATTTTGTGTGGTCCAAAGTTCAAAGGTGAAGAAGACCAGGAGAAGAACTGAGGCCCATCTGCTGGCCTCTGTCGCTGCAACTGAAGGGCATCTTCCTCTGCTCCTGCCCCCAAACCTCATCCCAGCCTCCAGGGCAGGTCCAGCAGGGTCTGAGATACCTGGGCAATCCTCAGCTTCTGAAGAACCTGATCCTTAAGAGCGCTTCGGTCATACAGCCCAGTCATAACCCAGTCAGACGTCCTAGGGGGAGCGGGTGGGTAAGGATTCAGGAGGAGATCACGCCCCTTCCCTGTCCCTAGGACCATCCTGGTCTCACGTGACATTGCAGTGGGCGGCAGTGATCACCCAGTTTTTGCTGATAAGGGAGCCCCCACCAAGGAGGAGTCCAGAGGGAGTCTGTAGGAAGAAGGGAGGGGTTACACTGGCAGGAAAAGTCATACACCCTTTGAGTTATCCCCCCTTCCTGAAGCCTATATCCGAGTGTGACCCCACACAGGTGACTCCCCTCACCAGCAGCACCACGTGCCAGGGCCAGGAGCCAGGATGAGCATCTGTCCCATTGATGATCCTGGGTACAATGCTCAGCTCCAGTTCGCTGGCAGGGGCCCCAGAGCCTGGGGATCACAGGGGGAGGGTGAGAGGGTGGAGGTCTAGTTAGTCTCTGGAAACCTGGGTGACCCTCAGCCAGCACAGCACCACGCCCACACTCCCCCCTCCTGGCACCCCTGCATCCAGATTGGAAGACACACACCACTGCCAGCTGGCCCAGTCACCCTCCCAGGGATGCAGAGGGACAGGCGGCTCCATCCGGGTCACCCTGCCCAGAGGAGCAGAAATAGGCTGAGGAATCAGGGTCTCTGCTCCCCGCTTCCAGGCTGGGACCTCAGCCCCCTCTGATTCTCCCTACATGTACACCCCAGTGAAATCAGAAAAAAACGCTGCTGCTGTCACAGGCTAACTTGTCACAAGCATTGGTATTGGCAGGAGGTGTGGATTAAAGCAGGGAACCACAGGGCCATGGGCTATCAGCCCTCTCACACCTTCCTGAGTGTTGTACCCATTCCCACTGCTGGATTCTCCCCCTGGACCTTCAGGAAATCTTTGTTGTATAACACTGAAGTTTCTTAATAATTTATAAGATGGGACTTTTAAAGCCCACAATAAAAAGACACATCAAGGAAGCAGAAAACCAAGGATGAGACAGTTCAGAACAAGGAGGACACGCAGGGCTCTTGATATGTGCAGATACACTTGCTGGGTCAGGACACAGGATCCTCAGCAGCTCCCAGGGGTGTGAGAACTTGGCCACAGGGAGAAAGGGGGCAGGGCCAGCCCCTCCCACCAGCCAGGCTGTCCCCAGGGTCCCCCAGGCCTTGCTCCAGGCAGCTTCTGATGCTGTCTGGGGACAGGGGCATGGCCCGGCCACTCCCTCAGGCTGGTGTCTCCAAACATGTTGTCTCCTCACCTTCTCTTATCAGAACAGAAAAACTACTAGCAGGAGCTGTGAGGGCCTCACCCTGCAGAGGTTTCATAGTAATGGGGTGGGGGGCCGGGTCCCCCGTGCAGGGAGGAGCCTGAAATCTCACAGGCGTGGGGACAGCAGGTATGACAGGGACAGGCAGGAAATACAGGAGGAGCTTCCCCCACTGAGCCCTGGTTCTGGTTATAAACAGGGAGTGAGTGTGTGAAGCTGCACAGAAGTGACAGGCAGGGGCTCAGCAGAGGCCCCTTCCCAGGCGAGTGGGGGAGCGGGGAGCTGCTGAGCCCAGTGTGGGTGTCAGAGAATCCCTAAAGTAAATAGGGAGAGGGGATATTTGCTAAATCCTGAGCACAGATACATGATATAGTACTATTTTTCTTTCTTTGTTTTTGTAAAACCAACCACTACCAATGCTGGCCCTAAATAAAATCCCCAAGAGGTCTTCTGAAAGTCTCTTGTCACCACCCCTTACTGACCCTTTGGGTTACCCTTGAGCCATTTCTTGGGCTCTATCCTCTGAGGCCTGCATGGCTCTGCTCCACACCTGGCACAGCTGTGAGGTCTCAGAAAGCCCACAAGGGCTGCTCTCCTCCTCAAAGTCAAATTAACTGTCTGCACCAAACCAAATGGGCCAGAGAGGGCCTCAGAACACCCCTTGGGCCAGACCCGGGACTCATCCTCAGTAGAACACTGTAGTCTTCCAGAGGTGTCCTGATGTGGAGCCCCGAGGGGCTCATGGCTTTCCTCCCTGTCTACTGTCTACTCCCAGGCCTGGTTAATGCCCCAGACTCTAACACTCACCAAATGCAGCTCCTGTGAGGGTGAAGCAGGAGAGAAGCCAAAGCAATGCCATGGTGCTGTGGTCAGGGAGGGTGGGGCAGCCTGCTCTGGGGCCCTTTTTACATCCCAGGGAGCCCTGGTCCCGCCCATGCCCTCAGGGCCAACTTCTCCATGGTCAAACCTGTCCTGGACTGGCTTAGCCCTGGTCACCCAGCACCAGGGAAAAGGACAACACCCTGGCTCTCTGCCCTGGGCCCCATCATTGGGGCTGCAGGTTCAGAGCAAAGACTCCTCTACAGGGAGCCTCACCCAGGTGTTCTGGGGCACCCAGAGCTCAGCACCCAGGACTCAATTTCAACACAGACTCCAGAGCCCAGGACTTGAGGCTGCTTCTCTCCCTGCTCAGGAAACCCCCTGAGGCAAGTGACACACGAGGCTCAGCTCCCTTAGGAATGGGCCTTGGAACCAGCCCAGACTCCCATCCTGGAGCACACGAGGGCAGGACAGTATCTCACTGGGCGTAACCCACTGCCCTCTTTCTTTATAAAACACGATTTAAATGAGCGGTCATTTTTTAAAGTCTTAGATTCTTTACACAGAAGGCTTTGATGTCTACACTATATATGGCCCACTGAAGACTTCAGGGTAAATGAGTTATGGGGCCTTTCCACACCCTCCTGCCTATACCTGGGGTATTGCGCCTCTGAGCCTAGGAGGGAGGGGTAGAAAGAAGGGTGTCATCAACTGGATGGGGAGGGGGGCGCTCATTGCTGTCTCCCTGCTGTCTGGATTCCCTTGCTCACTGTTAAAAGCCTGTGAATATGGTGTCACTGGCTCCAAAATTCTTCTAAGATGAGAGAATGCACCATGAATCTACCTGACCTGTGATGGCTACACAAGCGGTGTACTTGGCGCGATGGTTCAACATAGCCGGGTAGGGAGACCTCCATCAGGCAGGGGCTGATGGGTGGGCTGCCACAAGCGGGTGGTACTCACTGGCTGGCCTCCTCTACCATCTGCACCTACCCATGAATGGCTGACAGAGTCCCTTTGAAGTTGGAATTGCCTGGTGGCCACAGTTGAAAGGTCACTTCTCCCTTTAGCGGCCCTCAGGCGTCCCTATACCCAGAGGGAGGCCTGGCCTCCTCACCCTCAAGCAGGCAAGGAGTTCTGACTCCAGCTCAGGGACTTTCAACGTGATCACTCACAGGAATCACCTGGAAGGTTTGTGAAAACTGCCCTGAGCCTCATCTTCACTGCTCCTTAATTGGTTCCTAACGGGCTGTGGAATTGTGCTGGGGTCTCACCTCTGTGCTTTGGGGCAGCAGAGGCCACCCTGCCCTCCCAGGACAGACAGGTGACCTGGGCAACAGGACAGGTGCAGAAACTCTGGGGGCAGGAGCCCAGGAGGACAGGGAGACCCACCCTGCCTCCTCCCAGCCTCCCCCGGCCCTCTGGGTGGGGTCCCCTGGCCTAGCAGGTGCAGGGGTGTGCAGTGAGGGGCTCCAGGTCTGGCTCCCCATCACACTCTTGAATTCAGGCCCTGGCGCCACTGGCCTCTCCCCTGTGCTGCAGGACTCGGCTCCCAGGACTGCGGACGCTGCACACACAGCCCAGACCATGGGGACCCTGGGCCCTCGGGGTTCCCCCAGAAACCACACATTGTACTGAGGCCACTGGACACAGAGATTTCAGGCTGACCACAGCAAACCCCTGAAAGCTGACTGCAGAAGTGAGGCTACTGTGGGGAGAGGACAGATGTGGGGAGAAAGGAATCAGGGTGCAGGTGACCAGTGATGGAGCATTGCTGGGGCTCTGATGGTGGCATGGAAAGGCAACATTCATCTAAGGAGGGTGACCCTACACCCCTAAAATATGTTCAGTGTAGTTACTCATTCCTACCTCAAACAATGAATTATGTATGAAAAAGGAAAATAGAGCTAAAGGAATGGAAAACTCTCCACACCTGTGGACAGGAGGCTGAATGTGCTTAGGATGTCAATACCGCGCGGTCCGCTCTCCACAGGGAAAACAATTTTGATCAAAGTTCAATATGACACCAAAGTATAAGCAACAAAAGAAAATAATGTGGACACATCAACATTTAAAATTCCTGAGTATCTATTTGCAATATCATTGGAAGAATTATACCAAAATCTAAAGGAAGAAAATGCTTGCAGTTATATTGCATTTTGATGAGGGTGAAGATGCATACTGTAGAATCTCCAAAATTCAGTAAGAAAAAGGGAAAAATAATTGGCAAATATTGGAATATGGTTCTTGAATATTGTCCTTCAAAGAAATATTAAAAATGGTCAAAAAAGACCACAGAGGAGGAGCATCAGGCTCCCAAGGGCCACGGAGACACAGACACAAGGACGGGTCTGACCTCAGACACACAAGGGCCTGAGCCAGTGAGACGCAGGAGGGAGCAAAGGACACAGACATGCCAAGGCTGTGCAGAGAAGAAGCTTTAAAAAAGGGGAGATCAGGGCTTCCCCGGTGGCGCAGTGGTTGAGCGCTGGGCTGCGAAGCTGCCCGCAGCCTCTGCAGGGCCGGTTCGATCCCGGCAGCCGGAGAGGGTCCCACATGGTGCGCAGACCTCTCCTGCCACCCACTGCTCCCCTCAGCAGTGTACTTCGTCAGTCTGCCTGTTCTGCTCCCTGCTCTGGCTCTGGTGAATTCTCTCACCCTCCCGCGCTTCTGACCGTACCCAGTGCTTGTATAAATAAATAAATAAATCTTTAAAAAAAAATGAATAAAGGAAGTGTGTGAACAGCAGTGAGTTTCCCCTGCATGTTCTATACACTGTACCGGGGTCATTGAGTGACAAGTGGGGACACATCTCTAAGAAAAGCTGCCTGGTAACAAAGACAGCCAATCCATGTCACCCCCAATTACAAGTGCAAGGAGAATGACGGTCTAGGCCTCAGGCATCAAAGTCTGTGAGGCTCACAAAGAGAAAGCAGCCCTGACCCCTCAGGCAGGAGCCAGCCCCCTGCAGCCTGGCTGTGGGACTGACATGAGCCTGATCAAGTCTCTACACCCAGCAACCAAATCACACAAAAATAATGGGCGCAGGGGGACTTGAATGAACAGGGGTGCCAGTCTTGTGCCCTGGAAGGAAGATTTCACAGCTAATGCCATTACAGTGCATGTGTGCAGCACTTGGGTAAGAATGAGTGAAGGGTGGAGACTGCATGGATGGCCTGGGGTGGGGGTGCATGGAACTCAGGGCACAGAAAGGTGCCTGGAGCGTGTGGGGCAGTGATAGCCTTCCTGGGTGGGCCCCTTGTTACCAGGGCCCACCCAGCACAGAAGAACACTGCATAACTTGGAAGGAGCACTCCAGAATTCCACAAAGGTCCATGGACTAACCCAGCTATCCAAAGATCAGAAACCAGGCTGAGAAAAGAGGCTGCAGCAGGTGGTCTTGGACTCTGGCCCAGAGGCCTCCTGAGCAGGGAGGACCACACCCAAAGGCTTCAGCTCCCTGAGAAACAGGGGCTGCTGGGGCTCTGCAGCCTGGAAAGTCAGGGTCACACCATCCCCTGGTGGATGACAGGGACACTGCAGCCACCTCCCCCATGTCACAGAACAAGTAGTCAGGGCTTCTGTACAGAGGCTTTTATTAGGGATAAAAGCCACTGGATATGAGGATCAAAGCTCAGTTGTGAGCTATGATCTCCTCAACCCAGGGTATAAAGGTACTGACTCGGGTGGCCACGAAGGGCATCTGGGTGGGGCGGTATTTACCAAAATAGGACAAGATGCCCATGAGGGTCCAGGTTCTACTCTTCGGGCAGACCAGGGAGCCACCAGAGTCGCCCTGTGGGAGGAGAAGCACCTGTCTGCAGACTGACAGTGGTTTTGAGTTCTGGGAGCCCCCACCTGTCCCAGCCATGAGTTGGTGAGCCATCACAGTGGACCCTGTATTCCAGCAACAAAAACTCCATTTTTATGGAGGCCCAGCTCTGTTGCAAAGTGGTGGCAGGAGGGAGGGAGAGGGAGTTGCTCCTGCGATCTGTAAATCAGCTGGAAATACCTAACCCAGGGGGTGTCCTCGCCAGCAAATACCCCGGCCAGCACGCCCACGCCTAGACAGACACATTATCTGCTATGCGAGTGTAACGGTGGTGCTGGCTCCCAGGACACACATCCAGGAAACAGGGTCACGGGACCTGGGGCAAAGGGGATCCCTCCAGCCTGATCGGGGGGACAATGAGCGAGGGGCTGCGTTAGAGCGTTAACGTACACGGTAGAAGCTGACACCTTTGAGGCCAGCACAGATCATGGCATTGGTGCTGATTGCGGGCCAGAACTTCTTGCAGGTGGCCGTGGGGAGGAGAGGCACGGTGGCCTGCTGCAGCTTCTTAGGGCGGTCATTCCCTGTTGACAGAGGACAAATGTGGGCCACAGCCCACATCCTGAGAGCCCATCCTGGGTGGATTAGGCCAGAGACCTCACGCCAGTATCCCATGTCTCCCTCTGACAATAGCAGCAAAGTCCATGAGCAAAGCTCTGCACTGTATAGTCCTTAGAGGTTTCCAAGGTCTCAGTCCTTGTGATTCCACCCTGGGTCAGGCTGACTTTGCTCCAAGCACAGACGAAGAAACAACCATGTCTGCCCAACCTGGTGTGGCCTCGGCCTACCAGCACTGGTATGGGGACACCAGGGGAGAGCTTCCCCCAGGGAAGGGGGATTGACATCCTTCCAACTGGAGATCCCACTCTGGAGGTGACAGGAGCTGCCTCCATTGCAGCCCCTTCCTGCCCTGTCTATCCTGGGCAAGAACTGGCCTTGTAGCTCAGGCCTGGGGAATAGAACTCAGGTGTCCCCTTGGAGGGGACACCAGGCAGCACACTCCAGACACCACCAGCCATGCCTGGGGGACCTGAGGATGGGCAGAAGGGGTGAGTGGGGCAGCGTCTGCTGGGAATGAGCTGTGGCTGCAGTACCTGACAGTTCAAGGTCATCGTGAACTCAGCCAGACATTTTGCTAGGTTTTCACTAAGAGGTGGTTGTAAAGACCCAGACACATGTGGGACTCTGCTCAAGTTGGGGCAATCCCACAAAGCACAGCCATCCGGGTCTTTCCTACTATTCTGTGTCCTGAGTGGCAAGGCCATGGTCACTCACCATTGGGGTGGATGTACCCCCAGCCAATAATTGTACACCACGTTCCAGGAAGGACCTCGTCATCAGCACTGGGCAGGAGAACAGGGGACACTGTGTGCTTATAATGAGCTGGTGTCACCATCTTAAGTAGGGCGATGTCACTGTATACGCTGGTCAAGTTGAACTTGGGGTGTATAAAAACCTGTGGGCAAGGACGAGGATGAGGAGTTGAGAGCAATGAATACTGTGCAGCCCCTTCCGTGAGCAAAGATGAAGGGAGACCACAAGAACTGAGGCTATCTGCTGGCTCCAGTCTCTGCAGCTGAAGGGTCTTCTCTGCTCATGTCCTCAAACCCTCATCTGCCTCCAGGGCTAGGTCAGTGGGGGCTGAAATACCTGGGCAATCTGCAGGATCTCAACGTCATCTTCAGAAAAGTTTTTATCAAACAGCCCAGTCACAACTCGTACAGATGTCCTAGAGGGAGCAGATGGGGAAGGATTAAGGAGGAGACCCCTTTCCTTGTCACCCCCCTGTCCCTAGGACTTTCCTGGGCCTCACGTGACATTGCAGTGGGCAGCGGTGATCACCCAGTTCCGGCTGATCAGGGAGCCCCCACAGAAGACGCGTCCAGAGGAAGTCTATAGGAAGAAGGGAAGGTATATACTGGCAGGACAATAGTCATGACTATTCAGGTACAGGTCCACATTCTGAGGCCTGTAACACACCATGATCCCACTCAAGGGCAGACCACGCTCACCACCAGAGCCACATGCCAGGGCCAGGAGCCAGGACGAGCATCTGTCCCATTGATGATCCTGGGTACAATGCTCAGCTCCGGTTCAGTGGCAGGGGCCCCAGAGCCTGGGAGTCACAGGGGCCAGGGTGAGAGGGTGGAGGTTTAGTCAGTCTCCAGTAAACCTGGTTGTACCCTCAGCCAGCACAGCACCACCCACACTCCCCCCTCCTGGCACCCCTGCATCCAGACTGGAAGACACACACCCCTGCCTGCCGGCCCAGTCACCCTCGCAGGGATGCAGAGGGACAGGCAGCTCCATCCGGGTCACCCTGCCCAGCGGAGCAGGAACAGGCTGACCCAAACCTGAGCCACCTTCTGGGCTCCTTCCTCTGAAGCCCAGAGATTCTGCCTCACACCTGGCACAGCTGTGAGAGCTCAGAAAGGACACAAGGACAACTCTCCTCCTGCAAAGTCAGGTACTGTCTGCATGAAGCCATAGGGACAGGAGATGGGTTCAAAGCACTCCTTGGGCTGGATGCAAGGCCTCATCCCATATAGAACCCCTCATTTCTCCAGAAGGGCCTGCTGGCATAGCAATGCCTTCTGCCCCATTCTCCTCCCAGGCCTGGCTAATGCCTCAGACCCTAACACTCACCAAAGGAGACCTTGATGAGGGTGAAGCAGGAGAGAAGCCAGAGCAAGGCCATGGTGCTGCTGTCAGGGAGGGTGGGGCTGGCTGCCATGGGGCTCCTTTTACCTTGACTGGGAACCTAAAGTCCCGCCCAGCCCCTCTGGGTCTTGCTTGACCTGAAGGCCCCCCTCCCCATGCTCAAACCTGTCCTGGACTGACTCAGCCCAGGTCCCCCAGCACCAGGGAAAAGGGCAACTGCCTGGCTCACTGTCACCTATCAGCCCCAGAAACTCCTGGGGAAAGCACCCAGCTGTGGGCCCTGGAGCCCCTGGGTCCATCATGGGGGCGGCAGGTGCTCAGCACAGACTCATCCGCAGGTAGCCTCACCCAGGTGTTCTGGGGCACCCAGAGCTCAGCACCCAGGACTCAATTTCAACACAGACTCCAGAGCCCGGGACTTGAGGCTGCTTCTCTCCCTGCTCAGGAAACCCCCTGAGGCAAGTGACACACCAGGCTCAGCTCCCTTAGGAATGGGCCTCAGAACCAGCCCAGACTCGCAGCCCCGGAGCACACGAGGGCCAGACAGTATCTCACTGGCTTAGCCCAATGCCCTCTCCTTGAGACTTCACCAGTGATGACCTGTCGTTATATAAACGTTTCGTGACTTTTCATGCATAATTTTGATTCCACACCATACATGGTCCATTGAGGACACAGAAGATCAGGACTGATGTCAGGAACAAGGAGGAGCACACAGGAAGGCCACGGGTAGGGAAGGGCTTGGTAGACCCCTGCCCTAAGAGGGGCCACAGGGCCTCAGCCTGTCCATGATACAGGGGGCGCTGGCCAAGGACACTGCTCAAATACTTTATCAGTCACTGTCTGAGTTCTTCACTCGCGCGCACAGCTGCAAGACCACTCAGGTTCAGAGAGGGGTCTTCATTTAACAATAATGGTCTTTATTTGACAGACTAGTGAGAAACAAAGAGTTACTGAGCCAAAAATGGCCATTCACCTCACCCGAAACAGTGTCCAGTGCTTTCAAGTCCTAAACACAAACGCTCCTAATCCTGTTAACATGCTGAGGTTTGTCAAAAATTAGATCTGTTCAATAGAAATAAAAACAGAACCCCAGAGGCACCAAGCTGTCTCCCCACACCACAGCCACAGCCGCTCACACTGTGGCCCCAGGCCTGCCCTGTCCTCTCAGGACCCAGGAGGAAAAAAAAACTTGCTGAGTTTCTAGTTTCCTGAGGGTTCTTGCTGGTGGCAACTTAGGATCCTCACAAGAAGCTCAAGGGCTGGTCCAGCCCCAGCATTGGTTCTTTCAGGGGGTGTCTGTGGGGGTCTCACTGGAGGCCCAGGTGAGAACCGCAGACAGGACAGAAACAAGACAAAATCACAGAAAAAGTTGAAATATTTATAATTAGACACATTCCAAATAAATGATGGATAAAAAAGAAATGAGAAGGGAAATGAGAAGACAGGCTGGAAGGAAGGACATGGACCCACCGCGCCTCAAAATGTGTGGGAATCTGCGACTGAAAGAAAGTCACCGACAATAACTTTATTGCAAAAGGTTAAAATCAATGCCTGAGTCCTGCCTTATAAAGCAAGGAAAAGGACACAGAAAGACCAACAAGCAAAGATGACCTATTAAAGACAGGAGCAGCAAGCCATGAAGTGCAAACCCTGATGTGTTTACACAAAAGACATTCCAGACTGTGTGTGCACAGGGGGCAGGAGTGTGGGGTTGGCAGAAATGGGATAAACCCCCATGCCCACCTCAAGCCTAGGATAACACTGCCGTGCCTTCCAGCATGTTCCATGGCAGGACCCCTTGTCCTACCTGACAGCTGTTTCCAGAGCTGGCTCAGAGGCTCCTTGGCTGGTTCCTCTGCCTTGGGTAGCTGTCCAGGGATAACACTGCCCCCTGGTGGCCACGGTTGAGAGGACACATCTCCCTTTAGTGGCCCTCAGGGGTCCCTCCACCCAGGGGGAGGCCTGGCCTCCTCACCCTCAAGCAGGCAAGGAATTCTGACTCCAGCTCAGGGATTTCAATGTGATCACTCACAGGAATCACCTGAGGTTAATGGAAACAGCCCTGAGCCTCATCTTCATCACTCCTTAATGGGTAGATAATGGGCTTGGAATTGTGCCCCAGCTCCTATGCTTTGGGGCAGCAGAGGCCGCCCTGCCCACCCAGGACAGACAGGTGACCTGGGCAACAGGACAGGTGTAGAAACTCTGTGGGCAGGAGCCCAGGAGGACAGGGAGACCCACTCAGCCCTCTCCCCACCCTCCCCTGGGGCTCTGGGTGGGGTCCCCTGGGATGAGCAGGTACAGGGGGAGGGCAGTGAGGCACTGCGGGTCTGGCTCCCCCTCACACTCCTGAGCTCAGGCCCTGGCGCCACTGGCCTCTCCCCTGTGCTGCAGGACTCGACTCCCAGGACTGTGGATGCTGCACACACAGCCCAAACCATGGGGACCCTGGGCCCTCGGGGCTCCCCCAGAAACCACACATTGTACAGAGGCCACTGGACACAGATTTCAGACCAACCACGGCAAACCCTTGAAATCTTATCACAGAAATGAGGCTACTAAGGTTGCCCTAAGGAGGGTGACCCTACACCCCTAAAATGTTAGCACCCTGCTGCCTGCTCTCCACATGGAAAACAGTTTTGATCAAAGTTCAGTATGACACCAAAGTATAAGCAACAAAAAGAAAATAACATGGACACATCAACATTTAAAATTTCTGGGCATCTAAAGTGACTGTCCATGGAAGAATCATACAAAAACCAAAAGGAAGAAAATACTTGCAAGTCATTTTTTCATGCAGGTTAAGAATTTTCAGGGCAGGAATGGGCACAGGGCAGGATCTCTATGACCCGAGCAGCCATAGTAAAGGAGGGGTCCTGGAGCCCTCAGTAGCTTTTCAGGCTTTTATTGGGGTTTTACTGGCTACACAGCAGGCAGGGGTGCTGGGGGGCCAGGAGGCTGGCAGGCCTCCCAGCCCCCAGCAAGTCTTCACTCTAGCTGGGCTGTCCGGCCTTCTCTTGCGTTCTCTCTGCTTCTCTGCTCTCCTCATGGTTCTGCTCTTCCATTTGTTCTGCTTCTTTTCTTCTCGTGGTTCTGCTCTGCTGGCGTCCCCGTCATGCGGCCCAGTCTTAGCCCAGGTGAACCCCATCCTCATATGCTCATACCACACCCTACTCCAGGTGCCCGCCATCAGGCATGCACTCAGGACCGCAAGGATCCATCATCTATCCTAACGGCGGGAGGGCAGAAAAGCCTGATACTTTTTTTCACTTACCCTTCAAGAATCCTCACTGTAGAAAGAATCTCTAAAATTCAGCACAACAAAGGAAAAGATAATTGGCAGTTTTTTGAATATAGTTCTTGAATATTTTCCTCAAAGAGGTATTATAACCGGTCCACAATGACAGGACCCCGTGGCCTTTCCTGAGACACGCACAGAGGAGGAGCTTCAGGCTCGCACGGGCCACAGAGACACGAACACGAGGAAGGGGCCAGAGCCAGCGAGACACAGGAGGGAGCAAGGAGCACAGACATGCCAGGGTTGTGCAGAGGAGAGGAAACTCTTTTCAAATGGGGAGAGCAACAAATCATACAAGCTCTCATGACAATGAAATATAGGGGATGATATGTTAATATTAACCAAACTCAAATGCAAATAATGGTGAAAGTAATATGTCATTATGGCATATTCTCAGCCCATCATTCCCTGAGGCCTTGTAATGAGGAGTCTTGATGTGGAATTGAAAATATGTCCACGCGTCCCATGGAAGTTAGGAAATACTCCCTTCGTCTAGACTAAACGTGGAAATATCACTGTGAACTCAGGAGATGTTTATCGTGAAAATTATTTATATTAAACACACTTGCTCTGCCCCTGCACAGCGCACACACAGTGACACGCACCCTGTGTGAGCAGGCCTCCCCCCAAGACTGGGGACTTGAGGAACACGCGTCTTCCCACTCCAGATAGCAGGGGTTTAGAAAAACAGCTGATTCGGGGTCTGGGACAAGGAAGCTTGGAGCCCATGTGTCCCCACAAAAGTCCCAGAGCCAACTAGACAGCCCCCCTGGTCACAGGGGGATTTCAGCTTTGAAGGGTAATGATAAACAATGATGGAAACGCTTTTGATACAGAAGTTAAATGATTCAAAAATACAAAATCTAAACAAATTGCATCTCCTTGAATGATGTAAGGAAATAACAATCTCAAGTATTACCAGGGTCACTGTACCAGGGTCACTGAGTGACAGGTGGGGACACATCTCTATAGTCTTTCCTGTTAACAAATCACAGAGACAGTAAGTGAGTCACCCCCATCTACAAGTCTGGCAAAAATGACTCTCTAGCCACCAGGCATCCAAGTCTGTGATGTCAGAGGGAGAGAAAGCAGCCCTGACCCCTCCATGCAGGACCCCAGCCCCCTGCAGCCTGGCTGTGGGACTGACATGAGCCTGATCAAGCCTCTGGATCCAGCTGCTGAATCACATGAAAACAAAGGACAGTGGTGGGACCTGAGGACGGTGGTGCCAGTCTTATGATCTGGAAGCTTTCCCAGCTACTCAGTTTAGGGTGTGTGTAGGATCTGGGTAAAAAGCAGGGAAGTGTGGAGACTGCATGGATGGTCCAGGCTGGGGCGTGCAGGGGGCTCATAGCACAAAAAGGTGTGGAAAGGACAGGCCTGCCTGGTTGGCGCTCTGGGTCCCAGGGCCCACCCTGCTGGGCGGAGGACTGCATGGCCTGGCCTGGAGCACTCCTGCCTTCCACAAAGCTCCTTGGGTTAACCCAGCTGCCCAAAGAGGCAGAAACCAGACTGAGAAATGAGGCTGCAGCAGGTGGTCCTGGACTCTACCCCTGAGGCCTTCTGAGCAGGGCAGACCAGACCCAAAGACCTCAGCACCCTGAGAAACAGGGGCTGCTGGGGCTCTGCAGCCTGGAAAAGTGAAGGTCACACAGTGCCCTGGTGGGTGACAGGGACACTTCAGCCACCTCTCCCAGGTCACAGATACACAAGCAGTCAGGGCTTCTGTACAGAGGCTTTTATTCAGTATATCGGGCACTGGATAGCAGGATCAGGATTCAGTTTTGAGCCAGGATGTCCTCAATCCAGGGTATAAATGTAGCGACACGGGTGGCTACGAAGGGAGTCTTGGTGGGGCGGTTTCTACCAAAAAAGGACAACATGCCCACCAGGGTCCAGCTTCCATTCTTGGGGCAGACCAGGGAGCCACCAGAGTCGCCCTGTGGGAGGAGAAGCACCTGTCTGCAGACTGACAGTGGTTTCAGGGCCCTGGGCGCCCCCACCTGACCCAGACATGAGTTGGTGAGCCATCACAGGTGAGCCCTGTGTTCCAGCAACATAAACTCCTTTTCTATGGAGGCCCAGCTCTGTGCCAAAGTGGTGGCAGGAGGGAGGGAGAGGGAGTTGCTCCTGCGGTCTGTAAATCAGCTGGAAATACCTAACCCAGGGCGTGTCCCCGCCAGCAAATACCCCGGCCAGCACGCCCACGCCTAGACAGACACATTATCTGCTATGCGAGTGTAACGGTGGTGCTGGCTCCCAGGACACACATCCAGGAAACAGGGTCACGGGACCTGGGGCAAAGAGGATCCCTCCAGCCTGATCGGGGGGACAATGAGCGAGGGGCTGGATTAGAGCGTTAACATACACGGTAGAAGCTGACTCCTTTGAAGCCAGCACAGATCATGGCATTGGTGCTGATTGCGGGCCAGAACTTCTTGCAGGTGGCCGTGGACAGGAGAGGCACAGTGGCCTGCTGCAGCTTCTTAGGGTAACCACTTCCTGTTGACAGTGTCACAGTTGGATGATGACCCTCATCCTCCCTGCCCATCCTGGGTGGTTTAAGCTAGTGACCCTGAGTGGAGCCCTCCGGTTCCCCTCTTCCAAGAACAGGACCAGAGTTCACAGAAAGATCCCTGCACAGTACAGTGCTTAGAAGCAACAGAGGGCCACAGTCCTGATGCCTCTCAGTCCAGTCTGACTTTGCTGCAAGCACAGATGATGACACAGTCCTGCTGCCCGGCCTGGTGTAGCCTGAGTCCTGCCATGCTCATTGGGGGGGCACAGGGGCAGAATTTTCCACCCCAGGGAAGGGGACTAACATGCCTCTGATTTGAGACCATTCTGGGGGTGACAGGAATTCCCTCCCCGCTGTCCCTTCCTGCCTGCTGCTGTCGTAGGTAATAACTGGCTATAGCCCAAGCCTGGGGAGAGGAACTCAGGATTGGAGGAACACAATCAGGCAGAGCCAGCCCAGGGAGGGGCACCAGGCTGTACTCTCAGGACCCTGACTGCTTTGGACCCCCAACAGCTACCAGGGCTGGATGGCATCTGCACCACGGCCAGTCATGTCTGAGGGGTCTAAGGATGGGCAATACGGGGTGAGTGGGCAGCACCTGTTCGGAATGAGCTGTGGCTACAGAAACACGGTTCAAGGACATCCTGAACTCTGTTGGGGTATTTTGCTAGGTTTTCATTAAGAACATGTTGTAAAGATTCAGACACATTTAGGACACAGCTCAAGGTCGGGCAATCCCACAATGCAGAGCCATCCAGGTCCTTCCTACCATTCTAAGAGTCCCGAGTGGCAAGGCCATGGTCACTCACCAGCGGGGTGGGTTTCCCCCCAGCCCATAATGGTGCACCAGGTCCGGGGAAGAAACTGGTCATCAACACTGGGCAGGAGAACAGAGGACACCGTCCTGTGGAAGTGAGCTGGTGTGGCCAGCTTCAGCAGGGCGATGTCACTGTATACACTGGTCAAGTTGAACTTGGGGTGTATAAAGACCTGTGGGTAAGGGCCAGGGGAGGAGATAAAACAAATGAATTCCTATTGGCCCCATGGAGAACAGAAGTGAGGGGAGACTTGTTGAATAACTGAGGCCCATCTTCTGGTTTCTGTCTCTGCAGCTGAAGGGTCTTCTCTGCTCATGTCCTCAAACCCTCATCTGCCTCCAGGGCTAGGTCAGTGGGGGCTGAAATACCTGGGCAATGTCCAGGATCTCAATGTCATCTTCAAGGGAGCTTCTGTCAAACAGCCCAGCCACAACCCAGTCAGATGTCCTAGAGGGAGCAGGTGGGTAAGGATTAAAGAGGAGACCACGCCCCTCCCCTTGTGTCTAGGACCTTCCTGGGCCTCACGTGACATTGCAGTGGGCAGCGGTGATCACCCAGTTCTTGTTGATGAGGGAGCCCCCACAGAATATAAACCCAGTAGGAGTCTGTAAGAAGAAGAGAGGGTCAACATTGGCAAGAAGCAGTCACAACATGGGCCTCCCCGGTGGCGCAGCGGTTGAGCGCTGGGTTGCGAAGCTGCCTGCAGCCTCTGCAGCCGGTTCGATCCCCGGCTGCTCCCCGGCCATCGGAGGAGGGTCCCACATGGCGTGCAGACCTCTCCTGCCGCCCGCTGCTCCCCTCAGCAGTGTACTTCGGTCCTTCTGCCTGCTCTGCTCCCCGCTCTGGCCCTGGTGAATTCTCTCACCCTCCCACGCTTCTGACTGTACCCAGTGCATGTATAGACCAAACAAACAAATAATAAATAAATAAATAAATAAGACATGCCTCTAGAAAAATTTAAAAAAAAAAAAAAAAGAAGCAGTCACAACATTGTGGGAAGCAGCTCCTATCCTGTAGCTAGTACCCCAATGTAACCCCACTCAGGTGCTGACTCCCCTCACCTGCAGCATCACATGCCAGGGCCAGGAGCCAGGACGAGCATCTGTCCCATTGATGATCCTGGGTACAATGCTCAGCTCCGGTTCGCTGGCAGGGGCCCCAGAGCCTGGGGGTCACAGTGGGGAGGGTGAGAGGGTGAAAGTCTAGTTAGTCTCTGGAAACCTGGGTGACCCTCAGCCAGCACAGCACCACGCCCACACTTCCCCCTCCTGGCACCCCTGCATCCAGACTGGAGGACACACACCCCTGCCAACTGGCCCAGTCACCCTCCCAGGGATGCAGAGGGACAGGCAGCTCCATCCGGGTCACCATGCCCAGAGGAGCAGAAACAGGCTGAGGAATCAGGTTCCCTGCCCCCCAATTTCTTGCTGGAGACCTCAGGCCCCTCTGACTCTCCCAGGCTCATTTTTGCCCTTATCATGGGAAAAGAGCTGGGATCCCCACAGGCAAAGTTGCCAAAGTCATTGTTGTTAGGAGGTATAGAATTAAAAACAGAGCGCCCCAGGGACACCAGAAAGCCCCCCTCTCAGTTTCCTGACTGTATGTGACTTACACTGTTTATATGCTGGAATCTCTATTGCAATTTCAGAAATTCTTCATTGCATAACAATGAAGTTTCTTAATTGTTTAAAAACATAGCCTTTGACTCCCCCCCTCCCCACCCCCATGAAAAGACACAGCAAGGAAACAAAGCAGAAGACAGGATTGTCCAGAACAAGGAGGACACGCAGGGCTTTTGATATGTGCAGACACATTTGCTGGGTCAAGACACAGGATCCTCAGCAGCTCCCAGGGGTGTGAGAACTTGGCCACAGGAAGAAAGGGGGGGCAGGCCAGCCCTTCCTACAGTCAAGGGGTTCAGATCCCTCCTCCCCAGTGTCCTTCCAGACATAGCTGGTTCTTAGACACCAACACTCACCAAACACAGCCCCCATGAGGGTGAAGCAGGAGAGAAGCCAGAGCAAGGCCATGGTGCTGCAGTCAGGGAGGGTGGGGTGGCCTGCTCTGGGGCCCCTTTAATATCCCATGGAGCCCTAGTCCCAACCAGGCCTGTGGGCCTTCCCTGACCTGAGGGCCTCTGTCCCCATGGTCAAACCTGTCCTGGACTGACTCAGCCCGGGTCACCCAGCACCAGGGAAAAGGGCAACTTCCTGGCTCCCTGTCACCCATCAGCCTCAGCAACCCCCAGGGGAAGCACCCAGCTGTGGGCCCCGGAGGCCCTGGCCCCATCATGGGGGCGACAGGTACACAGCAAAGACTCATCTATAGGGAGCCTCACCCAGGTGTTCAGGGGCATCAGGAGCTCAGCACCCAGGACTCAATTTCAACACAGACTCCAGAGCCCAGGACTTGAGGCTGCTTCTCTCCCTGCTCAGGGAAACCCCCTGAGGCAAGTGACACACCAGGCTCAGCTCCCTTAGGAATGGGCCTCGGAACCAGCCCAGACATGTAGCCCTGGAGGACACAAGGGCAAGACAGTATCTCACTGGCTTAGCCCAATGACCTTTCCTTGAGAATTCACCATTTATGACCTGTCTTTATAAAAACTCTTATTCTCAAATGAGGCTTGAAAACTCATCCACTTTGGCCCACCGAGGACCCAGAAAGCTCAGGGCTGATGTCAGGAGCACAGAGGCGAGCACAGGAAGGCCAGGAGAAGGGTGAGCCCAGGAGGCACCTGCCCTAGGTGGGGCCACAGGACCTCAGCGTGTCCAGACTCCACCCGCGTGTCTGCTGGTGTCCTCACGATGCGTTGCTGCAGCCAGAAAGACAACGCATTGCTGTAGCCAGAGGCATATGAGTATTTTGTTACTTATTTTACTTCCTTATTTTCTGTACTGAGACATTTTTGCTGTTTTGATGTCTACTTTCCAACTTGATTCCAAGCATTTTATTTTTTTCTGTTTCTCAATTTTGTGCATTTTCCAACACAGGCCCCACTTCTCAATTGTGAGAAGAGGGCACCAGAACATCATATTTTTGTTCATCTGATGTATTGAAATTGGTGTTCAGTCATTTAATTGGCATTTTCTTTAATCAACCAGGGAGGAACATTTTCAAAAATTAATAGAGCATCTTAATTTCTGGTCCTTTTTTTCATTTCTGATTAGGATACATAGATTTCTATTGACTGGTGAATTGTGTGACCTGTCACTTTGTGATGTGGTTCTGTGATCCAGTCTCTGTACAGAATAGAGAACCATTTACATGTACTCTGCTGCATTGGGAATTGTGTCACTTTTCCCCTCAAATAATTGTCCCAGTAGGGACATCCCTGCTGGCGCAAGGGGTTGGGACACAACCTATGAAGCAATCCGCAGCCACTGCAGCCGAAATCGATCCCCCGGCTGGTCAGGGAGCAACCCACATGGTGCAGCAGACCTCTCCTGTCTCGCCCACTGCTCCCCTCAACAGTGTATTTTATTTTTTTTTTTTAGTTTTTTTTTTTTTTATAGAGGCATGTTTTTATTTATTTATTTATTATATTTGTTTGTTTTGTTTATACATGCACTGGGTACAGTCAGAAGTGCGGGAGGGTGAGAGAATTCACCAGAGCCAGAGCGGGGAGCAGAGCAGGCAGAAGGGCTGAAGTACACTGCTGAGGGGAGCAGCGGGCGGCAGGAGAGGTCTGCGCGCCATGTGGGATCCTCCTCCGGTGGCCGGGGAGCAGCCGGGGATCGAACCGGCGCCGCAGAGGCCGCGGGCAGCTTCGCAACCCAGCGCTCAACCGCTGCGCCACCGGGGAGGCCCTCAACAGTGTATTTTAGTAGATCCACCTGTTCTGCTCCCCACTCTGTCTCTGGGGAATCCTCTCACCATCCACACCTCTGGCCTGTACCACACATCTGTTCTTGTATGCATAAATAAATAAATCCTTTAAAAAAATTGTCCCAGTAAAAAAGTAGCACTATTATTTAAAAATGAACACTGATGTAGAAAATACCTAAATAAAAATAATTTTTTTTTAAAAGTAGCTCTATTGATTTGAGCTCCATTAGCTTTAAATCCTGTTGGTCTTAGATTTGTAAATTCAATTTTGTGTTGGAGTCACCTCTTCTGAGTGGGTGACAGTCTCCTCCAGGGAGGAGTTTTAATAGTGTAATTTGAAGCATGCATGCCTTAAAGTTATTATGTTGGGTGTTAATACTTTTCTCAATGGTTAAGTGTGTTACTTCCAAACTGGAGTGCATGGTATTCAGTAAGAAGGAGCAATTGACTTGGTTATGTGAATAAAGATAAATTAGCTTTTAAACTTTTTTTTAAGATTTATTTATTTATGCATACAAGAGCTGGGGTACAGGCCAGAAAAGTGGGGGGGGGTGAGAGGATTCACCAGAGACAGAGTGGGGAACAGAACAGGCATATTGACTAAAGTGCACTGCTGAGGGGAGCAGCAGGTGAGACAGAAGAGGTCTGCTGTGCAATATGAGTTGCTCCCTGGCTGGCCGGGGATTGAACTTGTGCTGCAGAGGCTGCAGATTGCTTCATAGTGTGGTGCTTTACCCCTTGCACCACCAGCGAGGCCCTAGCTTTTACACTTTTTACCTAAATTTCTCTCTAAAGAGACATATCCAGGAAGACTAATCCACTTATCTCTTCCCTTAGAGGAGAAAAATTTTTTTGCCTCCAGCAAATGCCCTACCTCTGCTATCCTTGTCCTAGCTGAGGAATTCAAGATGGCATCTAAAGCCACGTGGACGTCATTCAGTCCCACTGGGTCTCACATGTATACAGCGATGTCTATGATACTAAGTCTCTCTCTGATTTTTCTTACTTTTATCCATATAATACTTGTTTGAATATTCCCCAGCTGAGAAAACCCTGATGTATGGGATTATTGCCTCATATCCCTGTATTAATGAGGAATTCTAGTTCAAACAGAAATTCAAGCTACAATTAGTAACTCCATATTCAACCTGTTCTTTTTATCATTATTTAAACAGTGGCCCAAATCTCTTATAAAACTAAGAATTTGCTAGGTTTAATAATGAGAATTTGCTAAATACCTAGAATCATATTTTCTAAATTCCTAAGGATACAGGTTTACTTTTGCTCTTTATTATAAGAAAACTAAAATTGTATTTTCACGTTACTTAAAAGAAAAATAAAGCATGTGTTTATGTGTAAGTCATCCATTTTTAAGGGATGACAATGTAACAGCTACTACAATGGCTTACAATGCAGAACTTAAAAACTGAAATATAATAACTCTAAATAAAAATTAATTAAAATGTGCTATTAATATATTGGGAATGATGTTTTAAAAGTCATAGGAAGGGTTTAGTGTCAAAATGAAATGGTTACTTTCAAACAAAATGGTAGGAAAAATGGGAAAATGAACCTGCTTGGTGGCCTAGGGGTTAAGTCTCAGCCCTAAAACTGGTATGGCCTGAGTTCAATTCCCAGCCAGGGAGCTAACCCATATATGATGCAGCAGACCTCGCCTCTCTCGCCCGCTGCTCCCCTTAGCAGTGTATTTCATCAGTCTGCCTGTTCTGCCCCCCACTCTGTCTCTGGTGAATCCTCTTACCCCCTGTACCTCTGGCCTACACCCAATTCTTCTATGCAAAAAAAAAAAAATAATAAAATATGGAAAACAAACAAAAGTGTTGAAAGTCTAGGAGAGGTATCTTAAAAAACCTGTATGATAAAATGACCTGCTTTAGGAATATTTAGCCTAAGCTTAATATCAGTATTATAGGTTTGTAAAACCAACCTTTAATTTCTTCATCTGCCAAAAGGTTTAAAACATTCTAAAACTCCCTTTACTAACTTATAATAACAAAGACTTGAAGTAATCTAAGTATCATGTTACTCTTTTTCCCTCAGATTTGGATAACTGAGAAAAATCGAATCCTGTGAACAGGATTGAGCCTTTTCAAAAATGAGATCTGCTCAACCCAAATAAAACCAGAACCCCATGAGCACCAAGCAGACTGCCCCTCTCCATAAATGATGGTCTCCACTAGAACGATGGTCTAGACAACAGGCACACAGAGAGCGAAACCAGCCCTGACGCCTGCAGCCTGGCTGCTGGACTGAACATGAGCCTGATCCAGTCTCTATCCAGCTGCTGAATACAGAATAACAAAGGTCATGGAGGTGGAAATAGGGGGAGGGAGGGGACTGGAAGGATAATGCCTATCTCCCCAACTTAGAAGAGTGTGTGCGGGACCTAGGTCAGAAGGAAGGAAGGGTGGAGACTGCATGGATGGCCTGGGGTGGGGGGTGCAGGGGGCACAAGGCAGAGAAAGGTGCTGGAGCATGTGGGGAGGGACAAGCCTGCCTGGGTGACCCTCTTGGTCCCAGGGCCCACCCTGCTGGGAGAGGACTGCATGGCCTGGCCTGGAGCACTCCTGCCCCCCACAAAGCTCCTTGGGCCAAGCCCACTTGCCCAAACAAGACGAGACCAGGCTGAGAAATGAGTCTACAGTAAGTGGTCCTAGACTCCACCCCAGGGGCCTCCTGAGCAGAGAAGCCCAGACCCAAAGGCCTCAGCTCCCTGAGCAACAGGGGCTGCTGGGGCTCTGCAGCCTGAAAGGGAGGGGTCATGCTGCCCCCAGGTGGGTGACAGGAACACTGCAGCTACCTCCCCCAGGCCACAGACACATAAGCAGTCAGGGCTTCTGTGCAGAGGATTTTATTGGGGATAAAGGGCGCTGGAATGGGAGGATCAGGGCTCAGTTGCGAGCCAGGATCTCATCAACCCAGGGTTTGAAAGCATTGACACGGGTGGCCACGAAGGGCTTGCAGTAGCGGCAGGTTTTGCTGCCATATGACAAGATGCCCACGAGAGTCCAGATTCCATTCCTCTTGCAGACCAGGGAGCCACCAGAGTCGCCCTGAGGGAGGAGAAACGACCTGTTTGAACGACTGACAGGGTTGGTAGAACCCTCAGTGTCCTGATCTGACCCATCCATGTGGGGTTGAGAAATACCATATGGACCCTGATTCTAGCACAGGAACTCCATTTCAATGGCAGCCCAGCTCGGCACCAGATTTGGTGATAGGGGACATGGGAGTGGACCCATGGTCTACAAATAAGCAGGAAATATCTAACCCAGAGGGTCACCTTGAGAGTAAACACCCCTGGCCAGCAGCCCCATGCCGGACACATTATCTGCAATGTAGTGTAACGGTGGTGCTGGCTCCCAGGACACACATCCAGGAAACAAGGTAACAGGATCTAGGGCAAGGAGGATCCCTCCAGCCTGATCAGGGGGACAACCAGTGAGGGGTGGGTTAGAGCATCACATACATGGTAGGAGCTGACACCATTGAGGCCAGCACAGATGGTGGTACGGGTGTTGATGTTGGGCCAATATTTCCTGCACTTTGCCATGGACACGAGGGGCACGGAGGCCTGCTGCAGCTTGCTAGGGAGATCACTGCCTGTAGACAGAGGCCCAAGGTGGATTAGGACCCTATCCTCCGAGTCCATCCAGGGTGGAGGAGACAGAGACCCTAAGTACAGCAGCCCAAGTCCCCACCCAAGTTCAAGATCAGAGCCCTGTACATATGGACCATAGAGGCCTCAAAGTGCCACGATCCTTCTGATTCTACTCCAGGGTGGACTGACTTTGCTCTAAGCACAGTTAATTAAACAAGCCCTGCCGGCCCATCCTGGTGTGGCCTGGGTGCTGCCAGCCTGGGTGTGGAGGGCAGAAGGACAAAGATTTCCTCTCCAAGGAGGGGATGACATCCCTCTGATAGAGATCCAACTCTGGGTGACACCGAGGCCCCTCCATGCTGCCCCTTCCTGCAGGCTGCTGCCCTGGAAAGAACCAGCCTTGTAACCCAGTCAGAGGGATGAACTCAGGATTCTAGAAATTATATGTATCTAAGCGGCGCTCCAAGGAGTGGACACTGGGCTGACCTCTCAGCACTCAATAACCACTCTGGAGGCCTGGCATCAGCCAGGGTAGATGGCATCTTCACCATCGCCAGTATTGTCTGGTGAGACGGAGGATGGGCGGCAGGTGTGAGTGATGCAGCACCTGCTGGGAATGAGCTGTGGCTACAGAACCTGACAGTTTAAGGGCCTCATGAGCTTGCGCCCAGCATTTTGCTGTTTTCATTAAGAGGTTGTTGCAAAGATCCAGACACATGTAGGATACTGCTAAAGTTGGGGCAATCCCACAAAGCAGAGCCATCTGGGTCCTTCTACTGTTCTGAGTCCTAAGTGGCAAGGCCATGGTCACTCACCATGAATGCGGGTTTTCCCCCAGCCTATAATGGTGCACATGATGTCGGGAGGGAATTCGTCAGAAAGACTGGGCAGTGGAACAGGGGACACGTTGTTGTGGAAGAGAGCCGGTGTGGCCAACTTCAGCAAGGCGATGTCACTGTATAAGGTCCTCAAGTTGAAATTGTGGTGTCTAAAAATCTATGGGTTGGAACCAGGAGGAGAATATGAGACAAGTGAATTCTGGGTGGCCCCTTCAGAAAACAAAGGTGATGGGAGACCAGGAGAGAACTAGGGTCCATCTGTTGGCTCTTGTACCTGCAGCTGAAGGACTTCTCTGCTCCTGCCCCCAACCCTCATCTGCCTCTGGGGCAGGTCCAGCAGGGTCTGAATACCTGGGAAATATTCAGGATCTGGAAGTCGTCCTCACGGGAACTCTTGTCAAAAAGCCCAGCCACAACCTGGTTAGATGTCCTGGAAGGAGCACTGGGTAAGGATTGAGGAGGAGACCACGCCCCTCCCTTGTCCCTAGGGCCATCCTGGGCCTCACGTGAATTTGCAGTAGGCGGAGGTGATCACCCAGTTCTCATTGATCAGGGAGCCCCCACAAAGGAGGTGTCCATTGGAAGTCTGTAACAAGATAAAGTATATACTGGCAGGAAAACAGTCACAAATACCTGGGAAGCAGCTTCTACGCCATAGCTGGTACCCCAATGTAACCCTACTCAGGTGCAGACTCCCCTCACCTGCAGCATCACATGCCAGGGCCAGGAACCAGGTGCAGCGTCCTCCCCATTGATGATCCTGGGTTCAATGCTCAGCTCCGGTTCACTGGCAGGGGCCCCAGAGCCTGGGGGTGACAGGGGGAGGGTGAGAGGGTGGAGGTCTAGTCAGTCTGCAGAAACTGAGTCGCACCCTCAGCCAGCACAGCACCACACTCCCCTTCCTGGCACCCCTGCATCCAGAGTGGCAGACACACACCCCTGCCTGCTGCCCCAGTCACCCTCCCAGGGATGCAGAGGGACAGGCAGCTCTATCCGGGTCTCCCTGCCCAGAGGAGCAGAAGCAGACTGAGGGATCGGGGTCCTGCCCCCAAGTCCCTGCTGAAGACCTCAGCCCCCTCTGACTCTCCCAGGCTCATTTTCCCTAAGAAATGGGGAGCAAACACTGCCTACCTTACATTCAAACTTACCAAAAGCTGTGGATAGGAGGTACGGTATTAAAATTAGTGACCAGGTCACTGGAAATCCCCCTCTAACAATTTCCTGGTGGGATGAGACTGTACCCATTTACACTGCTGGATCCTCTGCCTGGAATTTCAGTAACTCTTCATTGCATAACTGACATCTCTTAATTGTTTAAAAAGACAGGACTTTGACACCCCCCCATGGAAAGACACATCAAGGAAACAGAAAACAAGGAATTAGACTGTCCAGAACAAGGAGGACACGCAGGGCCCTTGACATGTGCAGACACATTCGCTGGGTCAGGACACAGGATCCTCAGCAGCTCCCAGGGGTGTGAGAACTTGGCCACAGGAAGAAAGCGGGGCAGGCCCAGCCCTTCCCACCAGTCATGGCACCTCCAAAGTATCCCAGGCCTTGCTCCAGGCAGCCCCTGCCCCTAGCCCTAGGGACAGGGACATGGCCCGGCCGCTCCCTCAAGCTGGTGTCTCCAAACATGTCCTCATCTTTTCTTATCAGAACAGAAAAACCACCAGCAGTAGCTGTGAGGGGCTCACCCTGCAGAGGCTTCATAGTAATGGAGTGGGGGGCCGGGTCCCCTGTGCAGGGAGCAGCCTGAAATCTCACAGGAGTGGGGCCAGCAGGTGTGACAGGGACGGGCAGGAAATACAGGGAGGAGCTTCCCCCACTGAGCCCTGGTTCTGGTTATAAACAGGGAGTGAGTGTGTGAAGCTGCACAGAAGTGACAGGCAGGGGCTCAGCAGAGGCCCCTTCCCAGGTGAGGCGGGGAGCAGGGACCTGCTGAGCCCAGTGTGGGTGTCAAAAAAAACAAAAACAAAAACAACAACTTACAGAAAACCTGGAATGCTAATAGTTGCTAAATCCTGAGCACAGTTACATGATATGATACTAGGTTTTTTTTTCTTTTCTTTATTTTTTGTTTGTTTTCAGAAACCAAAATCTTAGCTGTCTGCCATTAGATAAATTCCCTGAGAGAAGTAATTGTGATGGTCACCTGGGACCCAAATCTGAGCCACTTTCTGGGCTCCTGCCTCTGAGCCCTACAAGCTTCTGCCCCACACCTGGCACAGCTGTGAGGGCTCAGAAAGCCCACAAGGGACGCTTTCCTCCTGCAAAGTCAGGTTACTGTCTGCGTGAAGCCATGGGACAGGAGAGGGGGTTCAAAGCCCCCCTTGAGCTGGCATTGCACTATGTTTTCATTAAGAGGTGGTTGTAAAGACCCAGACACATGTGGGACACTGCTCAAGTTGGGGCAATCCCAGAAAGCACAGCCATCTGTGTCCTTCCTACTATTCTGAGTCCTGAGTGGCAAGGCCATGGTCACTCACCATGTATGTGGGTTTTCCCCCACATAAATGAGCGAAATGCCTCATCTCGTACAGAACCCCTCATTTCTCCACAAGGGGCCTGATGTGGACCCTCTGGCATCTTTTAGGCCTTCCCCTGAATTCTCCTCCCAGGCCCCACTAATGCCTCAGACTTTAGCACTCACCATAGGAGGCCCCGATGAGGGTGAAGCAGGAGAGAAGCCAGAGCAAGGCCATGGTGCTGCAGTCAGGGAGGTATGGGGCTTCCTGCTCTGGGGCCCCTTTTATATATCACGGAGTCCTATGTCCCACCCAGGCCCTCTGGGCCTTCCCTGACCTGAGGACTACACTCCAGTTGGTCAAAGCTGTCCTGGACTGGATCCAGCTCAGGTCACCCCAGCACCAGGGAAAAGGGCAACTGCCTGGCTCACTGACATCCATCAGCCTCGACAATTCCTGGGGGAAGCACCCAGCTGCGGGCCCCGGAGGCCCTGGGTCCATCATGGGGGTGGCAGGTGCACATCAAAGACTCATCTACAGGGAGCCTCACTCAGGTGTTCTGGGGCACCCACAGCTCAGCACCCAGGACTCAGCATCATGCACATCCAGAGCCCAGGACTTCACGGTGCTTCTCTCCCTGCTCAGGGCAACCCCCTGAGGCAAGTGAAACACACGAGGCTCAGCTCCCTTAGGAATGGGCCTCGGAACCAGCCCAGACTCAGCTCCTGAGCACATGAGGCAGGACAGTGTCTCCATGGGTGAACCTAACTCTTCCTCTCTTGAGAATTCACAAAATCATCAATTTATAATAATCAATTTATAAACTTTTGGTTTCTTTTCATGTGAATTTTTAAAAAATTATTTTTATTTATTTATGCATACAAGAACTGGTGTGTAGGTCAGAGGTGCAGGAGGTGAGATGATTCACCAGAGACAGGGTGGGGAGCAGAACAGACAGATCTACTATAATCCACTGCTGAGGGGAGCAGCGGGAGAGACAGGAGAGGTCTGCTGCAGCATGTGGGTCAGCTCCCCGGCCGGGGATTGAATTCATGCCGCAATGGCGGCCGATAGCTTGATAGTGCTGAGACTTTATCCCTGCACCAACAGGGAGGCCCTCATGGGAAGTTTGGATTCCATACCATAAATGGCCCAGTGAGGACACAGAAAGCTCAGGGCTGATGTCAGGAACACGGAGGCGAGCACAGGAAGGCCAGGAGGAGGGTGAACCCGGGAGGCACCTGCCCTAGGTGGGGCCACAGGACCTCAGCCTGTCCAGACCCCCTGTGTGTCTGCTTGTGCCTTCACAATGCATTACTGCAGCCAGGAAGACTGGATAGAAGCATTGAATATTTTATTTCTCTATTTTCTGTATTTGTATATTTTGCTGCTTTGATGCCTGCCTTAGAGCTTGGCTGAGGTATTTAATTTTTTCTGTTTTTCAGGATTAAGGCTGGAATCACACTTGGACTAGCTGAAAACTCTTTGTCTAACTACCATGGAGACTTACATGCAGTTAATAGCTGGGGCCACATAATGGGCTGAGAATCCCGGAGACCTCCTGCATCAGGACAAGAAGGGCGCTGGTACTAATGATGGAAACTTAAAGTAGAAAAATTTAAGATAGAAGGACTCACAATGACTCCCACAGTAGAGGTAGGGATGATTAATGTATCTTACACGAAACCTAGCTATGGAAGTTTCCAGAGGCAGGGTCAGAAAAGTTTATCAGCCAGAGGTGGGGACAGAGAGGATAATAATCTTAGTGCACCAACACAACTCGACCCCAAGATGATTATTTCTGCAGTTCCATCAAAGAACATTAAAAAGAATACCCCTTGCCCTGGCAAAACTCGGTTCTTGCTTTTAAAGACTGCCTTCCTGCTTGTATGCGGGTGATTCTTTCCTTTCCTCAATAAAGTTGCCATGTGCTGATGAAGGGAAATGTCTGCTCAATTCTTTCTCAGAGAGACCCAAGTACCCCACACACCAAACCTCATGATCTGAACCCCAACACCAGGATCTTAACTTCCATCTTATATTGGAAACCTCCTTGATAGAAAAGCATCCTGCAGCAAAACCTTGCTAAGGGTGCACCAGTCTAACTTAAAATGCATAGGTCATTCTTTCCCACCAAGCAGTCACTTTCTAAGAAGTAACTGAGTAACTACTTCATTTCTAAGTAGTTTTGACTGACTCATACACTCAAGGAAATAACCTTTAAATTTTAATTTCTAAGAGTTGCCCCTTGGCTTTAAGAAGGGGGGGGACAGAAATTTTGCATTAGTGTCCTAACCCTGCATTTTCTTCATTACTTTCCTAAAGACATTTTGAATGGGTGGAAAGTTTCACCAGAATCATAATTTTAAAACAAATAATCTAATTCTTCAATTATTCCCAGCCTTGAAAACTCTGATGTATGGGATTATTGCTTCCTATGCCTGTAATTAATTAGGAATTCTAGTCCAAAGGAAAACTCAAGCTACAATGGTGACCCAAATCTCTTATAAAAGTAAGGTTTTGCTGAATTTAATGAGAATTTGTTGAATATGAAGAATCATATTTTCTAAATTATTAAGGATACTGGTTTACTTTCGGTTCTTATAGTAAGGTGCCGTGAGCAAGAAGCCTCATTTTTGGTCAATTTGTTTACACGGCATATGTTATATTTTTACATGCTCATTCCCTCCCAGAAGTGACCCCTAGTGGAATTACCAACTCCCAGAGTCTGATCTTAGAACCAGGGACTATATAAATACGTGCCTCCTTCAGGGCATGCAGAGGGCAATTGTTAAGCCATTCAGTTATGACAAACTGAGGGAAGTTTTTCAGGATCCAATGAAAATCCTGCACTGATTCAGGCTAGACTTGCTGAGGCCAGGAGAAAATATGCTAATCTAGACCCAAAGACTGCAGAGGGTCAAACCATCCTAGCCATTCACTTTACTAGCCAGTTTTGCCCTGACATCAGGTGCAAGCTCCAGAGACTGGATCATGGGGCTCAGGCCCTTCCTCGACACTTTTGGACATGCCCTTCAAAGTCTACAGTAACAGGAAGGAGACCAGCCTGTCTGGAAGAAAAGGGAAGGAGAAAGGCAAGCAAAGGGCCCAATGTATGGTGGCTGCCATTGCCAGCTCCCTGTCAACTCAGACTCACCTAAGACCCCATGTAATACCAGGGCGTTAGGAATCTCAACCTCTTAAAGGGCCCCCAGCTTGCTTCCATGACCAGCAACCAGGACACTCTCCTATTAGTTCATATTTAAGCTGACAGGTAACAACTTTCCATGACAATTTTCAGATACGAGCTGGTCTTCAGTATCTGAAGAGGCCATTGCCAGGGTTGTGACTTCTACACCATCACACAGGACACTGGAGCAGGGACTGTCCCACTCTCCAAGATGGAGAATGGGCAGCCCAAACCATGGGCCTCATGAGAAGGCAAGGAGGCCATCAGCTGCCTCTGATAATGGCCCTATGAAGAACCCAGTGTGGAAGGAGAAATTATTTATTTTATTTTTTCTAAAGATTTAATTATTTATTCATTCAAGCACTGGGTATAGTCAGAAGCGCGAGAGGGTGAGAGAATTCACCAGAGCCAGATTGGGGAACAGAACAGGCAGACGGATGAAGTACACTGCTGAGGGGAGCAGCGGGCGTCAGGAGAGGTCTGTGGGACCCTCGCACGGCAGCCGGGGATCGAACCGGCACTGCAGAGGCTGTGGGCAGCTTCGCAACCCAGCGTTCAACCGCTGCGCCATCAGGGGAGGCCCAGCAGAAATTTTTTAAAGGGGCCCAAAGGAGAGACAATTCCTCTAATGTATCTCAATGGGTGAGCCTCCAGTGATCCTAGAAGTGTCAGACAACAATGAGCTTCTTGGTGGATACAGGGCCACTTACTCTGCCTTACTCCAATTCTGTGGACTGACCAATTGGTTGACTGTCCTCACTGGAATTCATGGCCAGCCTAAGCCAGGACACCCTGCTCACTACAAGGCCACATGTTTCCACATTCATTTTCGGTCTTATCTTCCTGGTCTATCCCTCTGTTAGGACAGGACCAAACTCCAAGCCAGTCTCTGATTGCCAGTCTCCACAGCAACTATTGGCCCCCTTAGGCACTGCTGTGGAAAACAGGAAGAGCACAGAAGCCCCCAGACTCACTGATTCTGCCAGTTTGGCTACCAGCACCTCCCTCCAGCTATCTGGGACACTCCAATCCCAGGCTGACCTATCTTTGCCACCCCCAATAGGGTGCAATTAAAGGATCCTCTTATCTTCCCTAGGAAGTTATAATGTCCCCTCAAGCCAAAAGAAAACCACAGTCTTTTATACAAAAATTTCTCCAGTCAGGTCTTTGAAGACTTGGCATTCCTAAGCTGGTTTCACTTCACCTCATTGACAGGCCATCACACTGCAGCTTTTGGTGGTGGAATATCAGTCTCCATGGGGTACCGTCATGGAGACCTAGGACAAACGATTACAGAACACCTGGACCCGGATGGTTGGGCAGCCCATTTTGGACAACCAGCACCACCAGTAGCTTGAATGCCAAGTATGCCCTTCAAAGACAGTAATTGAGAACAAAAACCCGCCAGCCTCAGTGATAGGGGCTAGGAAGAGGGTGAGCAGGGTACCTCGCCTAGCTTAGGAATCTGCACATACACACACTATTTGACCTGTGACCTGTTTGCTCTGAGCTAACTTTCCATTCCAAGAGGTACCTGGGAGAGTGATGGAAGCCATTTCTGTCAGAGACGGAGCCATCCCAGGGATGAAGTGCTCTGCATCCAGGTGCCAGTGGAGGGGGAGCTGCCAGGGAGAGGGGCCACCAAAAAAAAACCCCAGAAGTTAACCGCCTGGAGTGAAGGCCCTTCACAGATAATTAACTGTCTTTGTTTAACTTACTGTAAAATAACCTGCTAGAGACCAGGTGTTAGATTTTCTTTGGAGCATGTGGCTAAGCCATTTGAGTGTCTTGCTGATCCAACTAAAGCACATATTAAAGATTCATATCAGGTCTTTGTCTTTTGATTTCAACAATTGTGCCAAGTAGAAAGAATCCGGTATTTTCCAGCAACATCATGACTAGATGAGACTTGGGCCCTAAAACCCACTTCCCTTTCTTTAAAGAAATACTTTATTTTTTTTAAAGATTTATTTATTTATTCATACAAACACTGGGTACAGTCAGAAGCGCGGGAGGGTGAGAGAATTCACCAGAGCCAGAGTGGGGAGCAGAGCAGGCAAAGGGACCGAGGTACACTGCTGAGGGGAGCAGCGGGAGGCAGGGGGGGTCTATGCGCCATGTGGGACCCTCCTCCGGTGGCCGGGGCGCAGCCGGGGATCGAACCGGTGCTGCAGGGGGCAGCTTCGCAACCCAGCGCTCAACCGCTGCGCCACCGGGGAGGCCCCCTCCACCACATGTTTTAAAAGCAGGAAAAAGTAAGCCCAAGCTGATGAGAATATATATTATTGAGTAAATGAATATAATAAAGATTCCAGCAGAACTTGCAGCCCAGGTGCAATGAGCACGCCAATGCAGCCATAATTAACAAGTTTGCTTACTTACAGCTCTTTCCCTTTCAAGATTCACGGCCAGGGCCTCAGCGATCTCTCTGCAAGCTCAGGCAGCCGGCCAAGGTGGTCTGTCCCTCCAAGGCCATCCCTGAATGCCAGCATCTTTCCCCCTTTGCGTGGCCCCCTTTTCTGGGGACTCTGCCACAAAATGGTTGTGCCTGCTGAAAAACGATGCGATCAAAGTAACAGATATGGAGACAGTTGTGTATCAAAGGAACCCTTGGTCTCTAAACCGGTGCTCCGACCTTACGGGGCTACCCAGGTCTGGGACCTCGCACATAATAAAGCTTTCCTGACCTCAGCATTCCTGAAGTACCTCTTGATCTTCCTCTGCCCGGGTAAAAGGCTAGAATTTCTACAACAAACCAACTGCTACCTGACACCCCCCAAAAAGTAGAACCCCAGGCACCGTGCTGTCTCCGCCACCCCACACCCCTGACTGTGTGACCCCAGGCCTGCCCTATCTCCTCAGGACCTGTGAGAAATAAACTTGCCATGATGGGTCTTGCTGGTGGCGACTTAAATCCTCACAAGAGCCCCCAGGTTGGTCCAGCTGATGTCTATTTAGAGAGGTGTTGGGTTCAGAGAGCTGGGTCCTGGGGTTACCTCTAAGAATAGTTTCATCAGAGCTCCCCTTTCAGTGGCTCACAGGGAGTTTCCCTATGAGGCAGAGATGTTTAGGTCCACTCAAAAGGGCAGGGTTATTATAAAAGGGGGAGGGAAGTCAAGGACATTTTCCCAGACACAAGCGAGCAGAAAGAGCAGTCCCTGAATGGGACGGGTTTGTAGAAGAGAGGCCTGCGTGGTTACAGGTGGGCAGGAGAGCTGCTGCCATTGGCCAGCTCGGAAATTGCACTGATATAGTCTTCTTTGGAAGGGGCTCATCCCTTTGTGAGATTGTGAACTGCTGTTAAATTAATCATTTCTAGGTTTTGCACGTAAGGACTTTTCTGTATTTGGTTTGACTAGGTCAATTTGGAAGGACCAGTGATTCTTTTACAATGGCCCTCAACCCACATGTCCCCCCCTGGTCTGTGCCTCAGTCCCCACCTCAGGATACTCTACTTTCCTATAGCTAGTTTAACCAGGCTGTTTATCATTCTACCCCCACCTCCAGCTTCCCAAATTTGCTTCTCTTAACCATCACAGCTGCAGCTGGTTATGAAAGGGGCTGTGTTTTGCAACCATCCCAGGCCAGGTAGGGTCACCGTTGGTTCAGGCAACTTAAAAGAGAAACTTGGAGCCCTTGGCATCATCCCCACAGGCTTATTAACAGTATGCAGGGGAAACAGGCCAGCAGGCCGACTGCAGCTTGGTGCCCTGCGAATTTCTATGTGCTTTTTCCTCTGGGCTTCCTCTTGAGACGTCGCTTGTCCTCTCATAGCCAGTCCATCATAGCCCTCCCTTCTCTGCCCTTATAGCCTCAGCCTGCATGCTCAGGTTGCCCACTTAGGCAGGCCCACACCATACTCCAGGTGTCCACCATCAGGCATGTGTGCCTCACTCCCATGCTCCCAAGCGCCTCTGCATTCAAGACTGCAGGTGATAGCCACAGAGGCCAATTGTGTAAAAGCCTGACCATCTTCATTTACCCTACAGGGTGTCTGTGGGAGACTCATGGGAGGCGCAGATGAAAGCCCAGCTAAGACAGACATGGGGCAAGAACACAGAAAAAGATGATATATTCATAAATTAAACTCTCCAAATAATTATGGATAAAGAGGAAATTAGAAGTGAAATTAGAAAAAGGTTGAAGTGAAGCACATGAAAATACCACCCCTAAAACTGGGAAGCTGCCAACTTGGGAAGGAATATAGAGGCAACAATAATTGCAAAACGTTAAAGTCCATGCCTAAGTTCATGCCTTAAAAAGCGAGATAAAGAGCAAAGAGAGACTAACAAGGACAGATGACCTATTAAAGATAGGAGCAAAAAGCCATGGGGTAAAAACCGTAACATATTTACTCCAAAATCATCCCAGATCTTGTGTACACAGGGGGCAGGAATGTGGGGTTGGCAGCCAGCAGGTAAATACCCCCTGCCCACCTAAAACCTAAGGTAACACTCCCCTGCCTTCCAGCATGTTCCTTGTCCTACCTGACAGCTCTTTCCAGAGGTGGCTCAGAGACTCCTCGGCAGGTAGGGTCCTTGGCCTTGGGTAGCTGTCCAGGGATAGCACTGCCCCCTGATGGCCACAGTTGAGAGGACACTTTTCCCTTAGTGGCCCTCAGGGTCCCTCCACCCAGGGGGAGGCCTGGCCTCCTCACCCTCAAGCAGGCAAGGAATTCTGACTCCAGCTCAGGGACTTTCAACGTGATCACCCACAGGAATCACCTGAGGTTAATGGAAACAGCCCTGACCTCATCTTCATTGCTCCTAATCGGTTCTTAAAGGGTTTTTGAATTCTGCTGGGTTTTCCCCAGCTCCTGTGCTTTGAGGCCATAGAAGCCCCCCCTTCCATCCAGGACATGAGAGGTATAGAAACTCCACGCAGGCAGGAACCTAGTGGACGGTGATAGAGGGTTACTGGGGCTTTGATGGTGGCATGGAAGGTGAGATTTATCTAAAGAGGGGTGACCCTATACCTCTGAAACATGTGCAGTGTAGGTAACCATTGCTCTCTCACTGCAATTAATTTTGCCAGAAAAAACAACAGAAGGTCTAAAGGAATAGAAAGACTTCCATTTCCACGGAGAGGAAGACTAAATATGGTTAAGCTATCAGGACAACCCAGAGTGATCTCCATCTCGAAAACAGCTCTGATCAAAGCTTGATAGTAAAAGCAACAAAACAAAAAGTCACACGGACACATCAACATTTACCATGTCTGAGTACCGCTAGGCATTGCAATGGGGGACTCATGCAAAAAACAAAAGGAAGAAAATATTTGCAAATTATTCTGATAACGGTTAAAATCCAGACTGTATAAGAACTTGAAAAATCAACAACAAAAAGAGAATGATAATATTTGAATATAGATCTTAAATATTTATTATCAAAGAAGTATTATATTTGGGGCCTCCCTGGTGGCGCAGTGTGTTGAGTGCTGCACTGTGAAGCTGTCTGCAGCCTCTGCAGTGCCGGTTCAATCCCTGCTGGCTGGCAAGAATCCCACATGGTGCGGCAGACCTCTCCTGTCGCACCTGCTGCTCCCCTCAGCAGTGTATTTCTGTGATCTGCCTATTCTGTTCCCCACTGTTCCTCTCACCCTCCTGCACCTCTGGTCTGAACTCCAGCTCTTGTAGAAAAATAAATAAATCTTTAAAAAAAAAAAAGTATTATAAAGGGGGAAAAAAGGACCCCATGACCTTTCCTGAGACATGCAGAGAGGAGCTTCAGGCTCCCATGGGCCACAGAGACAGGGACACGAGGACGGGTCTGACCTCAGACACACAAGGGCCTGAGCCAGCGAGACGCAGGAGGGAGCAGGGGAGACAGACATGTCAGGGAAATGAGAAGAAACAGTATTCAAATCAAGAGATCAATAAAAATTTTAATGATGAGAATGTTAGTATAAACCTCAGCTCTCACACACAATCAGGGGCAAAGCCACACATAACTGGTGTCTTCTCAGTCCATCATTCCCCGTGTCCTTGTAATGAGGAGTCTTGATGTGGAATTGGAAATATGTCCACGCGCCCCATAGACAGTTAGGAAAAACACCCTTCATCTAGACTAAACGTGGAAATATCACTGTGAACTCAGGAGATCTTTATCGTGAAAATTATTTACCATTAAACACACTTGCTCTACCCCTACACAGCGCACACCCCTCAAGGCTCTGGGCTCGAGGGACACATCTCTTCCCATTCAAGACATCAGGGGTTTGGAGAAACAGCTGATTTGGGGTCTGGGGCAAGGAAGCTTAGAACCCATGTGGCCACACAACTGTCCCAGAGCCAACTAGACAGCGCCCCTGGTCACGGGGGGATTTCAGCTTCATTTGGAATATTAATTTCCACGCTAGGGGAATGAAACATTTGTCTCTGCCGTTTTAAACTTCTGCATTTCCTTCATTTTCCCTCTAGGATTAAGAACATTGTTTTTAATTTCAAGGAAAAGAATGCCCTGAGAAAACAGCACTGGATTGTTGACCACCAGGTGATGGCAGCAGCACGCTGCTGGCCTGAGTCTCCCCCAAAACCTGCAAACAGTTGTGTCACAAATGCTGACTCTGCTCATTTCCCGTCCCCTTCCTCACTCCCTTGTAACTCTGCCTGAAAACAGGAGCTGGTCTTTCAGACACGAGTGTGACGCTCAATTTGTTGGCAGATTAAACTACTGTTTTCTCCTCGAACTCTGTTCCATTTTATTGACTAAGGCTACCCAAGACGGCATTCAGTACCAACCATGAACTGAAAGAAATGCTTTTGAGCCATGTGTTTATAATGGTTATAAATACAGAATCAAATGTGATAGAGCGCACCTGAGGGATGAAAGGAAACAGGCTCATTATTTTAAGAATCCATAAGAAAGTGTGTGAACAGAAGTGAGATGCCCCCTGCATGCTCCACACTGCACCAGGGTCACTGCGCGGCACATCTCCGTGAAGAGCTGTCTGGTAATAAAAGGGAAGGAGACATTGAGTGAGTCATCACATTTACAAGCCCAATGAGAATGACAGTCCAGCCTTCAGGCATCAAGGTCTGTGATGTCACAGGGAGAGAAAGCAGCCCTGACCCCTCCATGCAGGAGCCCAGCCCCCTGCAGCCTGGCTGTGGGACTGACATGAGCATGACCAAGTCTCTACATCCAGCTGCCAAATCACACATAAACGATGGACACAGGAGGACTTGAAAGGGAGGGATGACAGCCTTATGCCCTAGAGAAAAGATTGTCCAGCCACTCAGAGTGAGTTTTTCCAGGACCTGGGTAAAGGCAGGGAGGGTGGGATCTGCATGGATGGACTGTGGTGGGGTAAGCAGGGGGCTCGAGGCAGAGAAAGGTGCCTGAGCATGTGGAGAGGGACAAGCCTGCCTGGGTGCCCTCTTGGTCCCATGGCCCACCCTGCTGGATGGAGGACAGCATGACCTGGCCTGGAGCACTCCTGCCTTCCACAAAGCTCCTTGGGCCAACCCAGCAGCCAAAGGAGCAGACCAGGCTGAGAAATGAGGCTGCAGCAGGTGGTCCTGGACTCTACTCCAGGGGCCTCCTGAGCAGGGAGGACCAGACCCAAAGGCCTCAGCTCCCTGAGAAACAGGGCTGCTGGGGCTCTGCAGCCTGGAAAGGGAGGGTCACGCCGCCCCCTGGTGGGTGACAGGGACACTGCAGCCACCTCCCCCAGGCCACAGACACAGGAGCAGTCAGGGCTTCTGTACAGAGGTTTTTATTTGGGATAAGGGGCACCAGAATGAGAAGTGAAGGGCTCAGTTGTGAGCCAGGATCTCCTCAATCCAGGGCACGAATGTACTGACACGGGTGGCCACTACAGGTTTTCCGATGGGGTAGGTTTTACTAACGAAGGCCATGACGCCCACCAGGGTCCAGACTCCACTCTTCTTGCAGGCCAGGGATCCGCCAGAGTCGCCCTGTGGGAGGAGAGGGCCGTGTCCGTAAGACTGACAGCAGTAGCCGAACCCTGGTGGCCCCAGCCTGACCCTGTCATGTGGACCAGGTGAACCCTGTACTCCGGCAGCAGAAACACCATCTAATGGCAGCCCAGCTCTGCCTCTGGCTATGGAGTCGGGGGAGGTGGAGCTGGAGTAATAGTCTGTAAAAAAAGATGTAAATATCTAGCCCAGGAGGTGGTTGTGAGAGTAACTCCCCGCAGACAGCACCCCCATGGCTGGTGGAGCAAGTCCTCTGCTGGGCGTGTAAGTGCTGGTCCTGGTTCCCAGGACACAAAGCAAGGAAAAGGGGTAACGAGATCTGGGGCAAGGAGTATTCTTCCAGCCTGACTGGGGAACAATCAGTGAGATTTGAGCAACACATACTTGGTGGAAGCAGGAACCTTGGAGCCCAGCGCAGATCAGAGAATTCTTGATGATTCCGGGCCAGTACCTCCTACACGTGGCCATGGACAGGAGCGGCATGGAGGCTTGCTGCAGCTTGGCAGGTTTCTTGTTGCCTGTAGACAGAGGCCCAAGGTAGGTCTAGGCGCTCATCCTCCTAGCCCATTCAGGTAGATGAGGCCAAATCCCCAGGGCAACCATCCCAGGTCTCCCCCTCTCCTGAATATAGGAGCAGAGCCCAAGACCAGACCCCTGCACCATACAGACCACAGAAACCTCAAAGTCCTGATTCCATTCCAGGATGTTCTGGCTTTGCCCCAAGCACAGCCTGGTGTGGCTTTGCCTGCCCAGTCGGGTGTGTCCTGGGCCCTGCCAGCCCAGGAGGAGCGGACACAGAGTCAGCATCTTCCTCTCCAGAGAAGGGGCTGAAATCCTTCTGACCAGACACCCCACTCTGGGATTTATAAGGCTCTCCACCTCTGCTGTCCCTTCCTGGCGGCTGCTGTCCGATGGAAGGACGAGCCAGGTAGCCTTGGCCCTGGGCAGGAGAACTCAGGACATCAGGCAGAGCCAGCTCCGGGGAGGGGCACCGGGCTGGACTCCGAGGGCCCAGAACTGCTTTGGCTGCCCGACCCCCAGGCAATTCTGGCAGCTGCAAGCCCACTTATGCCAGGAAGGAGGGTACCAGGAAGGGCCTACAAGCTAGGACACAGCTGTGTCTTCAGAAACTCACAGCCCAAGGGATCATGGACCTTGAGTCCATGCACGTTTGCTAGGTTTTCATTAAGAGGGAGTAGTCAAGAAGCTGACGCATTGATGACAAAACCACTAAGCAGAGTCATACAAACTTCTTGTGTTCTAACAGCCCGACACCAGACTCAACTCCTGAGTGGCAAGGCCATGGTCACTCACAATTGGGCTTGGTGTCCCCCCAGCCCATAATAGTGCACAGGGTCCCAGGAAGGAACCGGTCATCAGCACTGGGCAGGAGAACCGGGGACACCATCTGGTGGAAGCGAGCAGCTCTCTCCAGCTTCAGCAGGGCGATGTCATTGTAGACGGTGTACAAGTTGAACTTGGGGTGATTAAAAATCTGTGGGTGAGGACCAGGAGGAAGAGATGAGATAAATGAATTCTGGGTGGCCCATTCAGGTACCAATGATGGGGGTAGGCAGGAGAAGCACTGAGGCCCATCTGCTACTCCTGTCTCCGTATCTAAGGGCCATTTTCTCTCCTCCAGCCTCTTCATTCTCACCTGCCTCCAGGGTTAGTTTTTCTGGGTCTGAAATACCTGCGCAATCTTCAGGATCTGGTGATTGTTTCCAGGTGAGTTTAGATCAGACTGGCCAACAACAACCCAGTCAGATGTCCTAGGGGGAGCAGGCGGGTAAGGGTTGAGGAGGAGACCACCCCCCATGTTCCCTCCCTTGTCCCTAGGAACATCCTGGGCCTCACGTGACATTGCAGTGGGCGGCGGTGATCACCCATTTCTCGCTGATGAGTGAGCCCCCACAGAAAAGGATTCCAGGGGGAGTCTGTGGAAGAAGAGACTGTCAACCCTGGCAGGACACCAGAAACAACTATCTGGGTAGCAGCCACCTCACTGTGAGGCTTGTAACCCAGTGTGACCCAAATCAGGTGCAGACTCCCCTCACCTCCAGAGACACATGCCAGGGCCAGGAACCAGGTGCAGCGTCCTCCCCATTGATGATCCTGGGTTTAATGATCAGCTCCAGTTCACTGGCAGGGGCCCCAGAGCCTGGGGACACAGCAGGAGGGTGAGAGGGTGAGGTCTAGTCAGTCTGCAGAACCCTGGTTGCACCTTCAGCCAGCACAGTGCTATGTCCACACTCTCCCCTCCTGGCACCCCTGCATCCAGACTGGAGGACACACACCCCTGCCTGCTGGCCCAGTCACCCTCCCAGGGATGCAGAGGGACAGGCAGCTCCATCCGGGTCTCCCAGCCCAGAGGTGCAGAAACAGGCTGAGGAATCAGGGTACTTGTACCCTTGCTTCTCTGCTGGAGACCTCAGCTCCCTCTGACTCTCCCAGACTCATTTCCCCACAAAATGGGGAACAATCATTGTTGCCCTCACATTCAAACTTATAAAAATGATGTTGCGTTTATGGGGTATGCAACTGAAACAGAGAACCACAGGTCACTGGAAATTCCCTTCTGACAGTTTCCTGGTGGGATGTGACTGTACCCATTTACACCGCTGGATTCTCTGCCTGGAATTTCAGGAACGCATCATTGCATAATATTGAAGTTTCTTAATTATTTAAAAAGATAGGACTTTAACACCCACCATGGAAAGACACATCAAGGAAGGAAAAAACAGAGGACGAGATTGTCCAGAACAAGGAGGACACTCAGGGCCCTTGATACGTGCAGACATGTTTGCTGGGTCAGGACACAGGATCCTCAGCAGCTCCCAGGGGTGTGAGAACTTGGCCACAGGAAGAAAAGGGAGCAGGCCCAGCCCCTCCCACCAGCCAGGCTGTCCCAGGGTGCCCCAGGCCTTGCTCCAGGCAGCACTTGCCCCTGCCTTTGGGGACAGGGACATGGCCCCCGTTACTCCCTCAGGCTGGTGTCTCCAAACATGTTATCTCCTCCTATTTGTTGTAATGACCATAAAACCACTAGCAGTAACTGTGAGGGGCTCACCCTCCAGAGGCCTCATAGTAACGGAGTTGGGGTCCGGGTCCCCTGTGCTGGAGGAGCCTGAAATCTCTCAGGCGTGGGGCCAGCAGGTGTGACAGGGATGGGCAGGAAATACAGGGAGGAGCTTCCCCCACTGACCCTGGTTCTGGTTATAAACAGGTAGTGAGTGTGTGAAGCTGCACAGAAGTGACAGGCAGGGGCTCAGCAGAAGCCCCTTCCCAGGCGAGGGGGGGAGCAGGGAGCTGCTGAGCCCAGTGTGGGTGTCTGAGAATTCCTAGGTCAAGTCTGGTAAAGGGAACTGTTGCTAGACTGAGCACATGATATGGTAATATTTTTCTTTGTCTATGTAAATCCAACTATTAGCAGTGATGATACAAAATAAAATCCACGGGAGGAAGCCCTGGGTAAAGGTTTTCATGTGTCTAACCCATAAATGACCCTCTGCCACATATGAACCATTTCCTAGGCTCCTCCCTCTGAGGCCCAGAAGGTTCTGCTCCACACCTGGAATAGCTGTGAGGGCTCAGAAAGCCAAGAAGGGCCATTCTCCTCCTGCAAAGTCAGGTTACTGTCTGGAGTGAAGCAAGTGGGCAGGAGAGGTGCCCAAAGTCCCAGGCCCCACCCAACAGAACCCCTCAGTCCTCCAGAGGGGCCTAATATAGATCACTGGGGGCCCAGGATCCTCCCCCCTTCTCCTTCCATGCCTGGTGAATCCGTCAGATACTAACACTCACCTAAGGAGGCCCCGATGAAGGTGAAGCAGGAGAGAAGCCAGAGCAAGACCATGGTGCTGCGGTCAGGGAGTGTGGGGCTGCCTGCTTGTAGGTCCCTTTAATAACTCCTGGAGGCCCTAAGTCACGACGCAGAGGCCCTCTGGGCTGTCCCTCACCTGAGGGCCCCCCTCTCCATGCTCAAACTTGTCCTGGACTGGCTCAGGCCCGGTCACCCAGCACCAGGGAAAAGGGCAACTGCCTGGCTCACTGTAACCCACCAGCCTCGGCAACCCCTGGGGGAAGCACCCAGCTGTGGGCCCCAGAGGCCCCGGGTCCATCATAGGGGCAACAGGTGCTCAGCAAGGACTCATCTATAGGGAGCCTTACCCAGGTGTTCTGGGGCACCCAGAGCTCGGCGCCCAGGAGCTGAATTTCAACACAGACCCCAGAGCTCAGGACTTCAGGCTGCACTCTATCCACTCAGGGAAACTCCCTGAGGCAAAGCAAATACATGAGGCTCAGCTCCCTCAGGAATGGGCCTCAGCCCAGCCCAGACACACAGCCCTGGAGCACATGAGGGCAAGAGAGTATCTTCCTGGCTTGACCAAATTACCTTTTACTAGACACCATTTGAATTGACCTGTCATTATATAAACTTTATTTTCAAATGGGTCTTGAAAACTCATCATAAATGGCCCACTGAGAACACAGACAGATCAGGGCTGATGTCAGCAACTCTGAGGCGAGCACAGAAAGGCCAGGAGGAGGGGAGCCTGGAATGCCCCTGCCTAGGTGGGACCACAGGACCTCAGCCTGTTCAGTACCAACTGCTGATGACTTTCCAGTGAATTCTTGCAGCCAAAATGACTGAACACAAGTATTGAGTATTTTCTTTCTTTTTTTAATCCTTCATTTTCTTATTTGTATATGCTGCAGCATTCAGGCACCTTTCCACCTGGCCTCTAGGTGTTGCTTTTTTCATTTAACCATTTTTACATATGCCAACTAGAAGCTACACTTGCCCTCATCTGTGAGGACCAGAACCCAGCCTTTTTGTTTTGTTTTGTTTGTTTCGTTTTGTTTGGTCAATTTCATCTTTGCAAAGTGGTGGTCAATTGTTTAAATCTCGTTTTTCCTGACCCACCAACATGGAACCTTTTCAAACATTACTAGAAAACTTTGATTTTTTGTTGTTTTTTTGTTCATTACCCATTAGAATACTCTGTTTACTGCTAACCTGTAAATTGATGATCAGCAGACTTTGTTATATGGTCTGTGGTCCAGTCTCTGTGTGGCATAGAGAACCACCTGCAGGTGTTTTGCTGCATCAGGAATTGAGTCACTTTTATGTAAAACAACGGTCCTAGTGCAAAACTAACACAATTGATTTGAGAGACATGTGGCCACCAGGGAAACGCTCTCCCAATATTTGAGTTGGATTAGATCAACAAACTCTTAGTCTAATGACCATGGAGACCTCATTTGCAGTTAACAGCGGGAATCACATGAAGGGCCCAGAAACCCTGACCTCCTACATCAGGCCAGGAAGGGCACCAGGTACCAGCAGGCCCTTGGGCAATCAGCAACCAGACCTGGCCAGGGGGAGACCCTCCAGGGCCAGACTACCTGTCATGGCTGAAGGGCCTTAGTTTATTAGATAATTGTCAGGTGGCCTGGGTGGGACAGGTTACCCTCTGCTCTCACAGAGACTTCAGCTCCAGGCTGAGGTGCTTAGGTGAAGAGGAACGAAGTTTGGAGCCAAAACTGTCCGTTTCTTCTAGACAGGGCTGTTCCTAGAAGTGGTTCCCTAATACTGAAAACACCTCAATTAGCAATTAACACAGGACTGAGGGTACCCTTGAACCCCAACTGTTAAGGGTCTGCTCTAAATAGGGCCATGCATCTACCCAAACAAAGGCAAAGCAAGAAGTCCCTTCACGTGAAAGATTTCTAGAGAACCGGTGTCACTAGAGACAGTGATTCCCCAAAAAAATCGCCTGGGGGCTCCCCTGAGCTGGGGTGAGGATGCCCTGCCTGCACCCTCCTGTTCCTGCACTGCCTGTTCCTGGGAACTTCCTCACAACTGGACCAGGGGTGCCAACTGCGTCTCCATGGTGCCTGTGAGCGACGCACTCCTCTGGGCGCTCGCTGTGGGGCTCGGGGTCAGGCTTTCTGGGTGGGGTCACTGGTCTGATTAGTTCGAGACATGGACACCCTGAGACCCTGGGCAGAGGGAGAGGGTGCCACAGATTTCGGAGGAGAAGAGCAAGTCGCTGCTATCCAGCATCAGACAGCACGCATTAATTACCAAAAAAAAAAAAAAAAAAAAAACCACCCTGAAATGACAACCATAGCATACTGTATTTCCTAGGCAAGAGCCCCAAGACCCCCACAAACCTCCAATGACTGACCCTCAGGAACCAGGATACAGGAAGAGGGAAACTCTCAGGATGGGAACCACTTCCTATTCAAGGCCAAGGAGAGATTAAGGTCACAGGGAGGGAGCTGGGAGCTGCCAGCAGGGAGCAGGGGGAGAGCCCAGGGGAGGGTCAGTAAGAGACAGAATTGGGTAGACAGTGTTTTGCCTCATTTCACCTTCCTCAGAGCAGGAGGTCCCAGGGTCTGGGATGAACAGTCTTCAGCCTCCTCACCGGGCAGGCCTGCAAGGGCCGCCCCGGGCATGTGCACACGAGCCCTGCACCACCCTGTTCCAGAAAATTGCAAGTTTCCAATTCTGCTTTTCCCTCCTGAGTGTCTCTTTCTAGAGACCTGCACTTCAGTGCAGGGGCCAGAAGTGGGTTCCAGACCAGGCCCCTGTGCACAGATTAGCTTGTCTTTTCCCGCGTTCACCTCTCTTGGTCAGTTTATTTCCAGCCTGTGCACCTGCAGGGCAGGGGAGGAAGAGCCTCCTCCCAGCACCCTCATTCCAGGCACTGTGCTCCCTGTATGTCGTCGTTGCCCTCAGGACTCAGGGCCAGGACACAGAAATGCATTCCTAACATGCCCCGAGGCTGGGTTGTACAGGTGCTCAGAATCCCAGATGCCTTGAAGTTCAAACAGGGCCTGAGGTGCCAGCTTAGCCCTGATGACTCGGAGACTCTCAGCATCTGTTCCATGAGCAGCAGGTGCCAGAGAAGCAGCCTGACCTAGACCTGCCCCAAGGTGTTTCCAGCTCGCCCACCTCCCAGTGACCAGGGTGGGGAGAGGGGCACTCCAGAACCCCCAGCCTGCCCACTCTAAATAGGTTCTGCCATCCACCGCATCAAGGCAAAACATACTCTAGTGCACAGACTGTTCATGAAAAAGAGCTTAGTACAATCAGTGTGCAGTAAAGAGTAGATATGAAAAGACAAAGAATATGGTTTCCAAGTCAAGCACAGG